TAGGGCCGCTTTCTCAGCGGCAGCCACAGCCCGCAGGCAGCGAGGCAACCCTGCTGCCACGGGATCGAGTTTTGCTGAGAAGTAAGCAGTGGGTCTCAGTGGCCCTCAGTGAGGCTGCAAAAGTACCGACTGTTCCGTTCATCTCCAGTTGCTTTTCTCCCGGATCGTCCTCAATTCATATTGTGGGCTTTTGTGCCAAAGTGGAGGCTCATTTCCTCCTGATCCATACTACTGTCATCCCTGGAGCAGGGGTAGTTTATCTCTCATCTGAAAAAGAAATATCAGAACACAAAAAAAAACACAAAAAATGCCCACTTTCGCTTGTCAATCTTTTTCCCAATTGGGCAAAACATAACTGCATTGACAGGTGGTGTGTGGCATCAGGGCGGAGGCTGTAGCAAAATACAGACTTAACAAAATGTATGTTTCTAATTTTATACTTCCCTAAATGTGAGTTTACAAACCAAGTTGTCCTTCAACCAACGACAGCTCACTGCGGTTGGACTGTGTCGCTGTCAGGACAAACAGCAGAGGCAGGAACTCCCAATATCTTCAGCGAGGTATTTCTCTCCGAGTACTTTCAGCAGAGTACTTTTCTCAGAGTACTCATCCCAGAGTACTCTCACTTTTACACCTGTTCAATAAAGCTTGTTATCTTTGAATCTCTAGTACTTACACCGTATGCTGTTGACAAAAAATAATTATTCCATGATCACATTAAAACATTACAGACACATTTGTTATTCCATGATTCCGTTCAGCATTCCTCATTTCACACATCACACTCATATCACAGTCATATCACAGTCACATCACAGTCACATCACAGGCCGATTTCCCACGTTAGTATTTTGGTCCAGTTTGTTAAGGTCAGCGTAGTGTACTTTGACATGACACACAAACATATAACATACACAAAACATATAACACACAAACATGTAACACACAGAAGGCCTGTACTTTTAACTTTGTTATATTTTTCCATGTCCAATTCCAATTGTCTCATGAGCTATTTCTTATTGTTGCAACTTTCAGAGCCTGCAGAGCTTTAAAAGAGTTTTCCTAAAAGGATCCATTTCCAACTTTAGTGTTTACCACGTGGTCTGTATTTCGGGCTTATCACAGATTGTGTCCCCTATATCTCTAATGAGCTCTTGTCACCTAAAAAAAATGTTTATTTTCCTTATTTTTTTTCTTTTTCAATAAAGCCAGGTCGGATTCATTAAAAATGTAAATTAGTCTCAAACTTTAATACTTCACCTTTGTTTCACGATAAAATGTTTTTGTTGCTCATTAAGTAGCACAGATAGTGGTGCCTATCTCAATAAACGTACTCCGTTAGCCTATCTTCCCTACACTGCATGAATTTTCAAACTCCAAGTTATTGTCTGGGAACGACCGGAGAGAGCAGCTTAGGTCGTTCGCGTGGTTGACCTCCAAATTTTGTGCGGGCGTCACTATCCACTTGTTGTGGCTAATAACTTAGCAATCTCAGGGTTTGGTGTCAATTTCCAGTGGTAGTTAACTTTTGGGACCGGTGCCTCCTTTTATTTATCTATTTTTAATTGAGTCTGCACATAAGGTCTCGGCCTAGTAGGTTAACCGGGCACAATGGGGAATATAGAAAAGAATGTTTAAGCTGGTTGCCCTGAGAATCAAAACACGTTAGCGGTGACGTAAATTGCTCTTTAGTCGTCTCTCCGACGCTGCTAATTAGAATATGAAGCGGCCGCTCATTTTAGGGGAGACAGAAAGGCTGTCACTTTTAGCACAGAATTTGTTGCCCCGGAGTCATCCAGAATTTTAACTTGTACACCACAGATTGTTAGCGTATATTACGGGCATGAATTATCTCTAAAAAGTGCCAATTGCAATTTGTTGTTGTTCAAACTTACATGAGCGGCCGCTTTGGTGACGAATGTGAACCCAGGTTTGGTCAGTCGCTCGTGTTTCCTCCGTGCCCGCCTCTGCCGTCCTCTGGCCCCGTGTGAGCTTGAGAGGCCCTCTGCCTTTAACGCCTCCTCCGGTAACAGTCCTTCGACCCATGTCGAGCACACAGTCTTTCCGCCGGGCTGTGGAAGTTTTTCAAAGTCCGCAGGAGGCCCAGGTAGCCCAAAGCGTTAGCATGTGGTCCATGAGGGTTGGTGAATGACCCAAACGTGCCGGTACTTTTGGCTTCTTCTGTTTGCGGTGCGGGAACAACTTTCAAGCGGGTTTCCGCGGGTGCGTTTGGTATATCACGCTGCCCCCTCCGTGGAGAACAGTCACGGGATTTGGAGCAGTTTGTCTCTGGCCTCCAAGGCAGTTGTCGGTGTCTCACATATTTGCTTCCCCCGTTTCTTCTTCTGTGGTTTCCTGAGCGTGTGTCTGTTTCCGCCTCTTCTTCTTCTGCGGTTTGGGCCCACTTCTCGCGGGGTCTCAGCTGGTGCGAGCGCCGCCTGTGGTTGGGGCGTGGGGCTGGTGCTTTGAGGCAGAGGACAGTGCGCGGAGGAAAGGCGCCGACAGACCTGGATAAGGGAGAGGGAAAAGAGACAACAGTAGTCTGCTTAATTTTTTTAAAAACCCAACGCCTTGTTTGGGTGCACACTTATTGTTAGTAGGGGTAGGGTGGGGGTGTGGGGGATGTGTGTGTGTGTGTGTCCGCCTGTGTTCTCCGCTTCGGTGAAAGGCGGAGGAGCTATTGTTTTTACATATTTCTTTCTCTACCCTCTTTTGCCGTGATATTCTTAAAACCAAGTATATTTTTTTCTTCCCTTCTTCTTCTAAATTATCACGCGAGATGCGTAATGGCCTGCACCATAGGCAAGCACTCCATAGCTTGCGTCTTCTAGATTGTTTTTTACCCATTTTCTCGTACGAACAATGGGCCTAACCCGCTTAGTCTCTCCCTGCTCCTACCCACTTTGGGGCGCTCCATTCCCCCCTCGCTGGTTCAACCAGCGAGCGCGCGTTCTTGAAATGGAGCGGGTCTGGCTGAAGACACGTGGAGAAATTTTCAGGGTCGCCTACAGGACGATACTAACGCGCAGCCGCTAGTTTCAATCTAGAACAAAAAAGCCCCCCAAAAAAATCCCGCACACAGACTATGCTGTGGCAATGAATGAAATACCCCAAAAATACATAAATAAACAAATCCCCGTGTACACTTAAGTGCTGCCCTGGGCTCGTTACGCAGATGAAAAGACAAGACTCACCAGATTAGGTTCTTTTTGGTCTTGTGTGGCAAAAGGATTCCTTCCGTGCGCGGAGGAGCGCGCTCTCCTTTGTCTCCAAAAAGGAACAGAGGCTGGTGATCCAGGTCGGCCAAACAAAGCCGCTCGTCCCCGCCGAAAGTATCCCATGCCAAGACATGTCAGCAACGCCAAATTGTTATAGAATTATATACCCCATGAAGGAGGAAACTCAAAGGTCCTTTGTCTGATCAAAAGCGTAAGTTTATTGTTAACGCACAGTGCGGAGAGTCAGCATATCCACACAAAGGCAGCATGCTCAGCTCTGGGGGCCAGAGCCCCCAGCTTCCTGTATACAAAACACACACCAAAGATAGTCTCGACGCCCACAACGGAGCGGAGGGGGCCACCGGTCTCCCTGGTCTCTCTCAGGAAGGTCTCTCTCTCTGGTCTCTCTCTCTGGTCTCTCTCTCTGGGGTGTGAACAGACTCCTGGTGGAAATGCTCTCTCTCTGGTCTCTCTCTCTGGTCTCTCTCTCTCTGGTCTCTCTCTCTCACAATCGTCTCTCTCTCCCTGGTCTCTCTCTCTGGTCTCTCTCTCTGGTCTCTCTCTCCCTGGTCTCTCTCTCTACAGTCTCTCTCTCTGGTCTCTCTCCCTGGTCTCTCTCTCTCTGGTCTCTCTCTCTGGTCTCTCTCCCTGGTCTCTCTGCCTGGTCTCTCTCCCTGGTCTCTCTCCCTGGTCTCTCTCTCTGGTCTCTCTCTCTGGTCTCTCTCTCTCTCTCTCTCTGGTCTCTCTCTCTGGTCTCTCTATCTGGACTCTCTCTCTCTGGTCTCTCTCTCTCTGGTCTCTCTCTCTCTGGTCTCTCTCTACAGTCTCTCTCCCTGGTCTCTCTCTCTGGTCTCTCTCTCTGGTCTCTCTCTCTGGTCTCTCTCTCTGGTCTCTCTCTCTGGTCTCTCTCTCTGGTCTCTCTCTGCTCTCTCTCTCTGGTCTCTCTCTCTGCTCTCTCTCCCTGGTCTCTCTCTCTCTGGTCTCTCTCCCTGGTCTCTCTCCCTGGTCTCTCTCTCTCTGGTCTCTCTCCCTGGTCTCTCTCCCTGGTCTCTCTCGCTCTGGTCTCTCTCTGGTCTCTCTCTGGTCTCTCTATCTGGACTCTCTCTCTCTGGTCTCTCTCTACAGTCTCTCTCCCTGGTCTCTCTCCCTGGTCTCTCTCTCTGGTCTCTCTCTCTGCTCTCTCTCTCTACAGTCTCTCTCTCTACAGTCTCTCTCTGGTCTCTCTCCCTGGTCTCTCTCTCTCTGGTCTCTCTCTCTCTGGTCTCTCTCTCTCTGGGCTCTCTCTCTCTCTGGGCTCTCTCTCTCTCTGGGCTCTCTCTGGTCTCTCTCTCTCTGGTCTCTCTCTCTCTGGGCTCTCTCTCTCTCTGGTCTCTCTCTCTCTGGTCTCTCTCTGGTCTCTCTCTCTGGTATCTCTCTACAGTCTCTCTCTCCAGTCTTTCTGGGGTTTGCATTGCTTTTCTCCGAGTGCTCCATTTTCTCCTAACACTAAATTAAATGGGTGAAATCCTCCAGCGTCAGTCCTGTCCAAGAGAATCCCTTTGTTTCTTCCACTGGATGTTTAGACTATCCACATAGATACATACATTTCTATGTTCACATACAGATATTTATGCCCAACTCTGTCCCTCTCAAATACACAACAATCATCTGCCCTAATCTACAACTGTGTTTACCTTTTTAGTTCCAAATAGATCCATGGTTCCAACAAACAAATATATATATGAGTGTGTGTGTGTGTGTGTGTTGAACTTGTTTGAGTTCACAGCTCTTTTGGGTGCGCTTATGCAGCAGCGCGGTGGGAAACATTTAGGAAGCTACATTTTTGAGACTAATTGGACAAAGCCGACAGTCGTAAAGAGCTGTAAACCAGAGGCTGCATGTTTCTGGGGATGGAAAAAGAGCAACTGTTTTTTGTGGTTTGGCAAAATGAGCACAAACAAGAGATGGAGAGCGAGCGGTTCCAGTTTGCATGTTCTCCACAAGTCTGGCTGCTTTCTGCTTCGAATGTCTATATTTTAATTACATGGAATTTCACATAGAGATGGCAATTTGATCTAAAACCCAACCAGTACACTTATAAATATATAGCGTCATATAAAGAGGAAAAGAGAATAACTCGTTCTCAAGCCCAGTACGTCTCGTGAGCTATTACATTTATCATTCAGCCAACTTCAGCTCTGTTATGGATCATTTTAAAGCTCAGAAGAGCCCGATCCAAGTGAAAGTGGCCTTCCTTACTAAAATGTTTGGACCCCTGTATTAGTATGATAGCTGATCATAATTCTTCAGATTGGCCAATATATCGCCTCACAATCTCCATAACAAATGTCAGTTTGTTTTACGTTTTATGTGCAAACCAGTGCTTTACTTGCATCTTCATATTTGAGGACAAAGACGTTATGTTTGGGGAGACTTCTGCTTGTGTCTCCATGTGAATTTACTCATGTTTCTTTTGTGGTGTTTTCATTTATTGTGTTGTTATAATGTTGATTATCCCCATGGAAGGAGCCTAGTAAATTAAATGTTTGTGATCTGTATTTGTCTTATTTGTATATAAAGAAAGACCTTATCTAAAATCCATTTTCAGATTAAATTAGAACAGATTCATCTTTATTGTTAACACAATGTCAGTAGTGCAAAAGCACAAGAATAGGATAAAATGAGACTGTACAAAGCTGCTATTACTTTAAAGTGTATCTAACGTGCTTAACAGGGGGAGAGTTCAGGAGTGTGACTGCTTTATATTTGATATTAGAGATGTGATGTTATGACAGCTGATCGTAATTCTTTTGTCTCTCTTTCAGATGACCCAGCTATCCTCTGGAGCCCTCTCTGCACCTCCCAGCCTCAGCCGGTGACAAGCCGAGCTCACATCTCCTTAAGCACCAGCCCCATGTGCTCATCCAGACTGCCCCTCATCACATAAACTGCACACCCACCCAGCCCCGATCCCAGAGCTGCTGGGGGAGTCCAGGGGGGAGTGTGGGGTGAGTGCAGAGGGAGGCATGGAGCCCAAGGACATGACTCACAGACACCTCCGGCACAAGCTGCAGAGCCTGAGCCGGCGGCTGGACGAGCTGGAGGAGGCCACGGGGAAACTGCAGAAGGCTGAGGACGAGCTCCTTGATCTGCAGGTGTGTGTGTCTGTCTACTTGTGTGTGTGTGCTTGTGTGCACATTTGCGTTGTTACTAGATTAGTACCACTTATTAACTCTTTATCAATGTATGAAATGGTGCTTAATTTGCATCTTCAATAAACAGACCAGTATCATGTTCCGTAAACTGTTTAGATGTCATCAATGTGAATTTTCATGTATGGACCGTTTTGCTCTGTTCTCTGGCCTTAAGACTTGCTTTCCTTGCAGGACAAGATCATCCAAGCCGAGGGCAGTAACTCCACCCTGCTCAGTGACGTGGAGACTCTTCGGAAGCGCCTCCTCAAGATCCAGGGCAAAGACGAAGAGGTGCGCAAGGCTGAGGACCTGTGCCGGACTGTCCGCGAGAAGCTGGAGGAGGACGAGAGCCTCACTATGGAGCTGAAGGCGGAGATCGAACGCCTTCAGAGGAGGATGGGCGACCTGGAAAAACTGGAAGAGGCTTTCGGGAAGAGCAAGTCGGACTGCAGCCAGCTCAGCATAAGTCTGAACGAGGAAAAGAACCAAACCACGAAGCTGTCGTCGGAGTTGGAAGCACTTAAGTCCCGCCTGAAGGAAATGGAAAGCTCTGAGACGAAGCTGGAAAGGGCCGAGCAAGCGTTGTCAATTGAACTCGAGAAGCTTAAAGGATTCAGTCATACATTCATGACCGACCGCAAAAGACTGTTGGAAAAGCAAAGGGAGGATGAGAGTATAATTTCAAAGTTAACAGAACAACTGGAACATCAAAAGATACGCCTGGGTATTTCGGCGGACGAGCTAACGTCATCGAGTATTCTCTCAAGTAAACTGGCCGCACGCAAAAAGAGCCTTGACTACTTGAAACTGGCTGATGGTAATATAGCAAACAAGGTGCAGAACAAAAAGAATAGTTTGGAGGGTTCACAGGAGGAGGACAATAAGATTAAGGAGCTGACGTTGGAAGTGGAAAGACTCATGAACCGCCTCAAACAGTTGGAGCTCGTGGAGGAGGACTTGAAAAGTTCGGAGTCTAAAAACGGGGAGCTTCATGAGAAGTTTCAGATGGAGCGTAATAGAACAAGACTACTTAACGAGCAAGTGGAACAGCTCCGAACGCAACTGTGCGGTAAAGGACTCGGCAATGGAAGCACCAACAGCAAAGTTCTGGAAAACGGGAAACCAGAGAACGAAGAAATGGTCAGTAAAGTTGTTTTCAGACAAGAGAAGCCGAAGTATCAAAGGATAGCGACCGTTGCGGAGCCAAAGTCCCCGAAACATCGCAACAGGGAAATGTCTCCTCAGCAAAAGAGAGAAACAAAGCTGAGAAGCATGTCTGAAGATGGTTCTCCAAAGGGCAATAGAAGACCACAAAGCCCTCTCCACAAAGTAAGGAGGACTCCGAGAAGTCCTACAGTTACTTCAGACCATGGTCTCAAAGAAACGTCGAGACTTCCCACATACAGTGCCATCAATGCTTCTCAGAAAGTTTCCGTGTTGAGTCGCTATCCTCCAGCTGCTAAAGACCAGAAGCCAACAAGGTTAGGCTACAAGCAGCAAGACGGAGATGCTAAGAAGGTTCGTCCGGGGAGTGTTTCCAAGATGTACCTTGAAAGTGACAGTGAATCGAACAACTCTGATGTGATGCCAGATGGTAGCCCTAACAGTATTGCAGCAAGTATTGATCAGGAGTCGACGGAAACTGTTCTGGAATCTCTCCCCACGTCTCTTTCGTCTTCCAAAGCCAACGGGTCTTACGTGGCGTACCGATCACATGTATCACCACTGTTAGGAACCGATCAAGGTTCCGAAGAGCACTCGTCGGCATCGGAAACTGAGTCAAACGGTTCAAGACCTTTGGAACCAGAACCGATCTTGGAAATGTCCACAGCTTCCGTCAGCAGTAGAGTCCCAACTTCTCGTGTCTCAAGGTATACCCACGCAAATGACTCTCACTCCGAAGGTTCCTCCTCAAGAAGCTCCTTTGACGAAGAGCTCCACAATCGAAACCATTTGTCGGAGATGGGACACCAGGGAATTCCGCAAACTCTGTCGGGGATTGAGATCCAGAGAGTGTGCAGTCCCAGAGAGGCGTTGAGGTCTAAGGCCGTGATCAAACCAGCCATTGTGGAGATCGACCGCAAGGAGATGCTTTTCTCTGAACCCTACGCTGCTAATGGCAAACCCAAGATCTCCACCAAGCCTGTAGGGACCTCTACCAGTAAAATGACCAGCCGTATAACGATTTACCCCAACGATCCCAGCTCCTCCCGGACCAGCAGCCGCAGTAGCAGTCTGTCCAGTGAGCCCCTGCCCAAGGAGCGCCACACCTCCACCAGTAACTTTCTTATAGGTATGTTTACGTTTAGTCAACAATCGTATGTTAGAATGTATAGATTTATTTTATTTTAGTATTCTAAGCTCATTTATTTATGGTAAAAAATATTCTGCAAATAATTGTGCTCTATTGTTAGCTTAGCTGTTGCTTCTACCAACGTTTTAAAACAAATGAGATACTGCAAGGGTACCAAGCACATCCAACACTGACATCTATAACTGTTTTTTCAATATGCCTTAGTTTTTTCACTACGCCCTAGTTAATTTAGGACCAGTGTTACAGCTAGGAGTGTCACAGTAACTGGTGTGGGCTGTAACCCCACAAAACTTGTTAAAGGTAGCGTTATGGAAGACTTTTTGTTTAATTGTGTGGAAAAATATATTTAAACCACTAGCCGCCATTGATTAATATACAAAACCATAATAAGTTTAAATTTACATATATCTATAAAACCACTAACACAAAAAGGTTTTGGAATCAGAGATTAAAAAAAACTCTTAAAAAAATATTGATTTTTAAAAACACACCGGACATTCAGGATTTGTAATATTGTTTTGCAGCATGACTCATGGATAATAATATATTATATATGTATGTATGTATGTGTATATTTAAATTAATACATGATTATATTGATGATACATACAGTACATATGACGGCTTTCTGGGTACTGAAGGTCACTTTACAAAAGGTACAATGTTAAAAGCCAAAAAAATAAATACAAATTAAAATTAAAAAATGGACAGATGACTGATGGTTGTACTTCTGGGAGAACAAAACTTATTCTAAATACCAAAAGCTTTCACCAGAGATTTTCTTGAACGAAGACCTTTCTTGTTTGTCTTTAATAACCTGACCTATATTATTATATTGATCTTATTCTATGGTTTGAGCTTGTAACACAGTATATGTAACTGTAATCCCCAGGCTCCAGCAGCGACCATCACGGTAGTATCTCTGTGCCCTACGAGATCTCCATCCCTATAAGCGACCTGGCCTTACGCCCCAGCCTGGACCAGGACAGCCTTGAGCCCCACCCCTCTGTGGCTGGATACGAACCTCACCACACTTCTACCACCACCACCGCCACCAGTCACCGCTACCAACGCACCAGCAGCGCCAGCGACCTCGGCGAGCCCCATTCCGTGTTGGAGATCAGCAGCTCGGCCAAGAACGTGACCGTGCGGAGCGCCTGGAGGAACAGGGGGATGGCAGAGGAGGGCGGAGCCAGCAGGGGAAAGGGCGGAGTCAGGGGCACAGCGGACGGGGGCTCGGAGGACGAGACCGAAGTGGCCACATGGAGAGCGTACCGAGCGACCTCCGTGGACATGGAGGAGATGAGGACGGGCAAGGCTTCCCCTGCAGAGGTGAGCCAGTACAAGAGGATTTTGACACTGAGGTCCTCCTTATTTCACCTTTCGTAGCCTCGCTGGGTTGCAGATTTTTGTGTGTGTAGTAGTTTGCATGCTTTTTTTAAAAGAAATGTTTTTGGCTTGTGTGCACACACTTGGTCTCTCTCTCTGGTCTCTCTGGTCTCTCCAGCCTCTCCGGTCTCCTTCTCTGGTCACCCTTTCTTGTCTCCATCTCTGGTCTCTCTCTGATCATTCTTGTCTCTCTCTGGTCTCTCTCTCTGGTCTCTCTCTCTGGTCACTCTCTCTCTCTGGTCACTCTCTCTCTCTGGTCACTCTCTGGTCATTCTTCTGTCTCTCTCTGGTCTCTCTCTCTGGTCTCTCTCTCTCTCTGGTCACTCTCTGGTCATTCTTCTGTCTCTCTCTGATCTCTCTCTCTGGCCTCTCTCTGGTCATTCTTCTGTCTCTCTCTGGTCTCTCTCTCTGGCCTCTCTCTGGTCATTCTTGTCTTTCTCCCTGCTCTCTCTCTCGAATAATTACTCACAAGGCTCTTTCTTACAAGTGTACCCAAAGATCATACGATGAGGACTGTATGTTGTTGTCTGATCATCACATTTTACTTTTACCAAACCCGTTCTATCTGCTGTAAGTGCGTATCGGGACCATCAAACCCCTCTGTGTTCTGTGTGTGTTCAGGTTTACATGCGTAGGATCAACACTGAAGATCCAGCAGCCGGGACCCGTCGAGCCAAGCCCTCCCAGACCCCTGAGTCCTCCCTGGGCCGGACCATACCCCACGCCCCTGTCACCTCACAGTCCTGGGGCAGAGCCAACACGGTAAGCTCAGCACCATGAAGACAGTGACACTACTTCTATTTCTCAATTTTTTTATCATTACCAACTGTTCTACCAACTGAGCCACCAGACAGTGTCGTTGTGTCCTTGGGCAAGACACTTAACCCGACTTTGCCTGAAGCCCGTGCTGAATAGTCAAGGCTCCTGTGGACTCACCACCTGCAGGAGGATCAGTGAGGGGCTGGTGCTCTGTGTACTGGGTGCAGCTCTGACTGCCACCCCCCCCGACCCAGAAATGGATAAAGGGGAAGATAATGGATGGATGGATGGACAATTTTTTACTCACCAGATACTTTAACATCATACAATCGAGAACAAATTAAGTAAAGTAGTCGAACAAAATTGAGACTGGATTATATAGATCCTGAGCTTCACAACAAGGTATAACAGTCATCCAGTCAACTTCATCTCTGCCAACATTGACCTATTGGTGTTTATGGTTACTTGTGTTAGTGACAGAGGACCTTAAAAACAACCTTATACAAAGGGCCAAAATTGGCTCATGGTCCTTAGTTTGGGCATGTCTGGTTTAAATCCATCTCATTGTGAATTCTAATAAAGTAAATGCCACAGGTGTCGTAGATTTCAAAAATATTCTTCCTGAACTTTTTTTTGTACTGCATTACTCCAATGCTGCAAGTACAAAGTTGTTCTTTCATTGTTGGCTTTTTCTCTATAGTTTCAGCTATTTTACAATCTTGCTGACAAAATGTAATTAAATTGGGTTTGGATGCACAATCTTGTCCAGGGAGCACTAGGCATCTGTGCAGAAGTGAGGAGTAAGCATTCTCTGTAGATCTGCCACAAAACAGCAGCGTGCTCTGAACTCGGGCCAAGTGCTTCTGGGACTGCTGGAAAGCAGGACCAGGCTCTGATTTCTCTCTGGTCTCTCTCTGGTCTCTCTCTGGTCTCTCTCTGGTCTCTCTCTGGTCTCTCTCTGGTCTCTCTCTGGTCTCTCTCTGGTCTCCCTCTGGTCTCTCTCTCCCGTCTAACCCTAATAAATTACAAATTAGGCAATATAAACCATCCTTACTATTAAAGATATGTTATTAACTATATATTCAAATATGTGTGTTTGTGCATTTTGTTTATGTGTGTGTGTCAGGCTGAAGGCCCAGACTCCAGCCTGAGTACCAGCCACAGCCCCGCCTCCTGGAGGAGACCTCTGCCCAACACAGACTCTCCTCTTCTGGGCAGCTCCAAGACTCCAGGGGCCTCCTCCTCCAGAGCAGAGCTGTGGTCCCGGGGCCAGGGGTCAGGGGCCCGCACAGAGGGGAGGGCTCGGCCATGGAGCCAGCGGCAAGCTGAGCACCACTGAGGTCAGGAACCAGCTTTTATGAACTAAGAAGCATTAAGTGGAAGCAAAGCACTCCACAATGTGTATAGATCTTATATTCTCCTGCACATTCTCGTGTGTGTGTGTGTGTGTGTGTGTGTGTGTGTGTGTGTGTGTGTGTGTGTGTGTGTGTACGTGTGTGTAAGTGTGTGTGTACGTGTGTGTGTGTACGTGTACATGTCTATATTGTCATTGTACCACTATGACACTTTGGTAATTTCTCAGGTGAAATGACAGTCTTTACAATCAAATGCTGTGTTTTCAGTCTGTAATTTTCACATTTTTAGAAAAATAAAACAATTTCTCCTCCCCCCTCTAGTGGTGACACAGTGACAGTGCAGGCAGTTGCCATCTTTCACCATTAATTTTCTCCTGAAGCTAATTTTGCACATTAAAACACAAACAATGACATAGTAAATATCAGTATTGCTGGTTGCACAGGCCTGTCCCAGAGCGAGAGCCGTCTAACCTCTTTCCTTCTCGTTTTAGGAGTGAGCTCCTTTGGCCCTCCTCCTCCTCCTCCTTCCCTCCTTCCCTGCATTGGGGTGGGGGGCAGGCACTCTGGTTCAGGACCGTCCTGTGTCTCCTCTTCTGCCCCCTGGATGTATCATAATGTAACTGGACACTGACAAGGGAGAGGAGGCCGGACTCATCACACACGAGAGGCACAGGGACCGACTTGGTCTGAGGTTATTTTGACTGTTTTAACTGGAGAAGAAATCCACCAAGCTCATTGCTCATTGGACATTGGTCATCTGGCCCTTATAGACCAAAGGGCTCTGTGTTTTTTATCATTGCATTTCTTGTGTTTGAACTGATTCTCTGATCTGTGTTGGGCGAATAAAAGTTTTTGTAAAATGAGAAAAAAGAGTATTTAGTTTAGTCAGAGCTCTTTATAAAACATCAAACAGTTTAAACCACCGCTACAGTTCCAGCTAATGTCAGGCGTATTCTGATTGTGACTTTCGTGCAGCAGCTGGGAGTCATCTTTGTAGAGTCCATCTTTGCCGGACTCCTCACTGGTTTCCTCTGGTCTAATGTTGATTAGAAGCAGTCCTTGTGTTGTAGCTGCACAGTATAACACGGCCCATGTTTCTGCAGTTAGAAGAAGCTAGCATGTTGACACCTGATTTAAAATCCACATCGTACACAATTCAATTTAATTTATTTTTGTATAGCCCTAAAACACAACTGTAGTTATCTCAAAGGCTTCTAAACAGCCGGCAATTCACCAACACAGATCAGAGAATTAGACAGTTCAAACACAGAAAATGCATTGATAAAAACACACAAAGCTTTGTCCATAAATGTTGGTGAATGTGGAGTTTCCTGGATCATCACTACTGTCTTTAGACCCTCCTGCATCGACAAGGAACAACTCTAAAACTCTTCAAAACACTATGTTCTCTTCTACACGTTCCTCTTTGCCTCGGAAAGTAATGCACATGAGTTTCCTTTGCAGAGTCTGAGTGAGGAGCTCAGAGTAGAGCCCTGTCCATGTTTAGACAAAGACTAAATATTTAATACCAGAAGTACCACGCATGTCTATTTTATCCAATTCAAATGAAAATAAGAAGAAAGGAGGCGTGTTTTTTGAATGTGGATGCAGCCGCTCCGCTTTCCTGGATGGGCCTCCGAGCAAGTCTTATGTTCAAAATGATGAAATAAATTAAAATGAGTTTACAACAGCGTCACGTTAAACGACATGTGTCACAGAGGCTTCAGACGGACTCACCGCTCTCTCACTGAAGCTCCTGGTCTATGCTCCACGATTAGCCTTAAACAGTCAAAATAAACTGAAATCAAGCAAACGACAACATTGTTATTGGTCGAGTTCAGATCCTGCTTCAAAGACGACTTTCTCATCGCTCTGAGCTGTGGGCTGTGTTTGTGAGCAGAGGACCAGAGTCTGACCAATACCAACCTACTCTGATCTTTGGGACATGAATGTTGTCTGCATGGAAGCACTTGTGGAGGACCGCGCATGGACCCCCAGAGGGCCTCCCCCCCAGAGGGCCTCCCCCCCAGAGGGCCTCCCCCCCAGAGGGCCTCCCCCCTTGAGGGCCTCAGTACTGGATCCTTGATGGATGTGAGATGTCTGTGCAGTTTGCCTGAATGTGTCAGTTCTTTTCTCCACAGCGTCTTTAAACGAAGTACTCAAGTAAAAGTACTGTGACCGGCTGAACTACTGCTTTTATTGAAATGCAGTTCAAAGTAGATCCGAGTATTTAATATATTGCCCTGTTCCTGTGACGCTCAGTAAAAGTCATACTAGTCCAAATAACTTGCATTCACTTATTTGCTAAAAAATCCCTGTTTTCCATAGATTATTATTGGGACCGATCAACTTGAAAACACATATTTATATTTTTAGTATTTATTTGTTCGTCAAAATGAAATTGTATTTAAAATTGTAATTGTCTCCTGCTTTCACTTTAGAAATTTAGATTTTTCAACTTTTTTTCCCCACAAACTGCCTCCTGTCCGGAGCATTAAAAAACTAGCATTTTTCATTAGTTTTATCCAAATAAAGTCCAAACTCGTCTCTCGTGGAGTCGGTTGCTTCAGTACTCTGTGGTACTTTTACTTGAGTACATTTGAGAGCTGATGTCTCTTGTCTAAATGTGCTCTTTGACCAAATATCTGCACGAGTCTTAATCTCTCTAAATCTCTCTGTGCTTAAACGTCCACAACACGAGGTCGCTGTAACTTATTTCAAACATATCTGTGATGTATCCGTCATTACAGCAGACCACAGGCTGTCAATCAACGCTTACACTGCAAAAAATGATGAAAATTAAGTCAAATATATCTTAATTTGAGCACATTCTGACTGCCTTGAATCAAGATTTTCCAATGGGACTAAACAACATGATCTAGTTTTAAAAAGATCATGTTCTTGAAATAAGATTAAATGGCTTTTTTTCCCACTGGCAAATCTCTGGGTTGTGTCTGATCTCTGTCTTTCTAGTCTCTCTGTCTCTTTCTTTAGTCTCTCTCTCTTGCCTCTCTGGTCTTTCTCTAGTCTCTCTATCTGGTCTCTTTCCTTAGTCTCTCTCTGGTCTCTATCTTGCCTCTCTGGTCTCTCTCTAGTCTCTCTCTCTGGTCTCTCTCACTCTGGTCTCTCTCTAGTCTCTCTGTCTGGTCTCTCTCTTGTCTATCTCTCTGGTCTCTGTCTGGTCTCTCTGGTCTCTCTCTCTCTCTCTCTGGTCTCTTTAGTCTCTCTGGTCTCTCTCTCGCTGGTCTCCTTAGTCTCTCTGGTCTCTCTCTCGCTGGTCTCCTTAGTCTCTCTGGTCTCTCTATCTCTGGTCTCTCTAGTCTCTCTCGCTCTCTGATCTCTCTCTCTCTGGTCTCTTTAGTCTCTCTCTGGTCTTTCTCTCTGATCTCTCTCTCTCTCTCTGATCTCTCTCTCTCTGGTCTCTTTAGTCTCTCTCTTGTCTATCTCTCTGGTCTCTGTCTGGTCTCTCTGGTCTCTCTCTCTCTCTCTGGTCTCTCTAGTCTCTCTCTCTCTGGTCTCTTTAGTCTCTCTGGTCTCTCTCTCGCTGGTCTCCTTAGTCTCTCTGGTCTCTCTCTTGCTGGTCTCCTTAGTCTCTCTGGTCTCTCTATCTCTGGTCTCTCTAGTCTCTCTCTGGTCTCTCGCTCTCTGATCTCTCTCTCTCTGGTCTCTTTAGTCTCTCTCTGGTCTTTCTCTCTGATCTCTCTCTCTCTCTCTGATCTCTCTCTCTCTGGTCTCTTTAGTCTCTCTCTGGTCTTTCTCTCTGGTCTTTCTCACAAAGCAACAGTTTGTCCCATTGGCAAATCTTGTTTTAACAGTCAGAACAAACTCAAATTATGACAAAAACCCACTCTTTCAACTCATTATTGCCTCATATTGTATCCTTTTTTGCAGTGTATGTTTCTTTGGAGGAGGTTGAATGAGGTGAAGAGGAGCCTGGGACCCCTAAACTCACCACAAATAATCACTATTAAAGCTGACATTTTGCACAGTTTCACCCAAAAGCCCCATTATGAGGCAGGACAGTGCAGTACAAGCCTTTATTTTTGTATAGCCCTAAACAGTCGTCTCGGAGGATTTTACAACATTGTCAATTTCTCAACAACAGATCAGAGAATCAAAGGCAATAAAAAGAAACCCGTGTCTCGGATCATCACAAATGTTTTTCCATCATTTTCTTTCATCTTTCTTGTATTTCTGTGGTCGATGTTGTGGTCCTCTTCCTCCTGTGAAGTTCCAGGGCTCCTTCTTTGGTTCTTCTGAGTTTAAGATTCCAGGACTCTTTAGTTTTAAGAATGTTCATCTTGTCTTCTTATTGTTGGCATCGTCTGGTATAGAAGAACCAAATCACTGACTCCAGGACACTGTTTTTTTTTTTTTTACACCAATTCTCTTCAATAATAAAGTAGCATTTATGTCTTTTATGCCCTTCATCTCTTCAATGTCGAACGTTTGTCACACTTCAAAGCAGACTTCAACTTTATTTTAATTTAAAGAAAGTAAATGGACGTAAAACTTAGGGATTTGCTTTGCCTCATGGACTCATGTTTGTACAGCCCTAAATCACTACAACAGTTATCATGGAGGACTTCACAAAGTTGTCGATTCGCCAACAACAGATCAGAGAATCAAAAAGTTCAAACACAGGTATTAACATCAAACTCATCAACCACTGTCCATAAATGTCTCGGATCATCACCAACACATAAAAGGCATGCTATAAAGATTAAATAATAAACAAAATCTAATATATAAGTTCACACAATAGACATAAACAGATAATATTTTAAAGTGACAGTGACATCAATTAAATAAAGTAAAGGATATTTGCTTTGTTACTTAAAAGCAGTTGAATTTAACATAGAAATGTGCAAAACTGGTTGAAATCTCTTCTATATTTCTCTGCATTTCTGTACATGTTAAGAATGTAACGCTCTGGTGGTGCGTGGGGTCCCGGCCCACACTTTGGGAAGCAGCGCTCTGGGCGTGGCCTGTATGTGACGCAGTTCGCCGTGCGAATCTGCGGCGGTTTCTATAAAAGGTGTATTATTTTATTAGAGCAATAAATATATGAACCTGGCGTCTGTTGTTCTTTTCACTCGCTGCAGCGTCGCAGGTAATCAGACTCACACTAGGACAAAACTAAAGACTTTTATCAAAAAGACAAGTCCTCAAAAAGCTAAAGATGTGACTGAGGAAAAAGATACCAGCATTTATACAAGGTTATACAAATATTTTAAAAAGATGATCAAATCCTATAAAATAAAAAGCTGGAGAAAAAACAAATCTATATGATTTTGAATTCAGTCGATTTAGAGTTGTGGTTTTCAAACTGTGGCTCAGGGTCCACGCAGCATCCAGGCTCATAGGCAAACATGTAAATGGATACATGTATATTATTATTTATTAGTAATTGGATATGAAGTCCAGCTCCCAACAGAAGACTGATATTCCACGGTCACACAGCGGAGGAAAGGTTTGCCCAAGACATGATCAAATATGAGGTAATAATTGTATGAAATGAGTGGTTTTTATCTTAATTTGAGTTCATTCTGACTGTGTTGAAACATGATTTAATGGGACAAAGGCGATAAGTATTATTTCAAAAACTGTCTTTGAGAGAGACCATTTTTCTCATTCCAAGGGTTAGGGTTTCTTTACCTTTTTAAAACAGGATAATTTTGCTCGTCCCATTGTCAAATCTGGCAATCAGAATGTGCTCAAATTGAGACAGATTTTGCCCAATTTGAGAAATTTCAGACTTATTTTTCATCAGTTTTTGTAGTGTAACAGTTTTAATAGTCTCAAAATCGTGGAGTATGAAAGTGAGGAACAAGGCCTTATAAAAATCATGAGGGAAGCGTCTGGGGAGTGGTGGTGGTGGTGATGGGCAGAGGATAAACATACTGTAGAGAGCACAGGTCAGCTTGAATGTCAGGACACTTTTAGATGTGGAAGTCTGTGCACCCCGTGACCCGGGACGTCCCATCCTGAGGCTCCAGAGGCTCCGGTGTCCCCTCGGGCCTGGGGCCGGTGTGCGGCAGGCTTTCAGCGGTGCTAATCACGGCTCTAAATTTGACTCATAGTGTTACGTCAGACGAGAGGCTGTTAAAGGTGGGGCACACAACTTTCAAACCACACATAATTGAACTGGACACTATAGACCAGGGGTGGACAATTACACTGCAAAAAATGATCATATATGAGGAAATAATTGCTTGAATCTAGTGTTTTTTTGTCTTAATTTGAGTTGATTCTGACTGTGTTAAAACAAGATTTGTCAATGGGAAAAGCCATTTAGTCCTATTTCAAGAATTGTTACTTTTTGAGAGACCAGAGAGAGACCAGAGAGAGACCAGAGAAAGAGACCAGAGGGAGACCAGAGAGAGAGACCAGAGAGAGACCAGAGAGAGACTAGAGAGAGACCAGAGAGAGATCAGAGAGAGACTAGAGAGAGACCAGAGAGAGAGACTAGAGAGAGACCAGAAAGAGACCATAGAGAGAGAAGGTCCAGAGAGAGAGAGACCAGAGACCAGAGAGACCAGGGAGAGAGAAAAGAGATTTGCAAATGGGAAATGTTATTTTATTGTCTCATTTAAAGGGAGACATTGAATATTTTTTAAAACAAGATAGTTTTGCTCATTATCCCATTTTCCAATCTTGTTTCAAGGAAGTCAAAATGTGCTCAAGTTAAGATACATTTTGGAAAATCTGAGCAATTTTTGGGCTGTTTTTCATCACTTTTTGCAGTGTACACTACTTTTCACAGTGGGTGGCTAGGGGGCTGAGTGTATAGCCTCTCAGTAAGAAGGTCATAGGTTCGGGTACCGGTCGGAACAGGGTATTTCAGTGGAGTTTGCATGTTCTTCCCGTGCCTGCGTAGGTTTTTCTCTGGGTGCTCAGGTTTCCATTACCACTAAAAACATGCTCACTAGGTTAATTCCTCCAGCTCTGGTAGTCCTGTCTAAGCTGAGCATCTGGAGATTGGTTCGTGGGCGCTGTTACTACGGCGACCAATGCTCCTGACATAAGCCTTCGCCGGCATCAGGGTGGGTCTAATGCAGAGGATGAATTGCCCCACAGGGAGCAATAAAGTGCCATTTTACCTTCAGTATGTATACAGCGTAAACTTTTGCACATTTTGTCCTTGAATTTCAACCCAACATCAGGACAATGACCCTAAATATAAAACTAAATCTACAAAAAAATCCAGTCCAGACCTTTTGGAAAACTGTGGCCGAAAGGAGACCATAAATATCACTCTGAAAAGTCACAGAGTTGGACAAATTAATTGCAGATGTTTGTAAAAGGTATAATTTTGTCTTCATTGACCGTTTGACCTGTTCTGGAAAAGAAATAACCTGTTTAAAGGAAATGGGCCTGGTCTGAACAGATGTGGAGTCAGAGTGTTGATGGAACACCTCATCCCCGACCAGAACGAGCCACAGGACGCCAGAGAGAGTGAGGAATAAGTGAGACCTTCTCCTCCTGTGCCACAAACGTAATAAATGTATTTGCAGCAGCCAGACTTCCACCTTCAGCTCCACCGTCACCAACTGCGGGAAAGTTTTATACTCAATATTCAACCTATTTGGCGCATTCGAAAAATCTGTTCAGCTCCTTGACTTTTTGATTTTAAAACAGTGTATGCCTAGTCTTCCCACGCACATGAGAGAAGGCTTAATTTTTCAAACACATTTTGTTTATTTTTGTTTTTTATTTATTATTTTTGTGAAGATTTAATAGCAAAAATAGAATAAAAAATCACAAAAAATACAACAAAACTAAGCTTTGTCTCATGTGTGAAGGAAGACATATTCTTAACCTGTTTTGAAATCCAAAGGTCAAGGGGCTGAATAGATTTTTCGGTTGTGTTGAATATCATGTATAAAACTAACTTTACCGCAGTCCATCACCAACCCCACCTCCCTCAGCAGAAGTCCCAGCAACACCGGCGGAAAGCACCAGGGGGCACTCATCAGAAAAAATGCCATCTCCCTCCAGAGACCATCACAGCTCCATCATCAGCTCCCGGGGAACCTTCATATTTGCCCTTTGAACCTTCTCCACCATCTCCTCCTCTTCCCACAGACCAGTCCAGGGCTCTACTGTACCTGCGCCCTCCGTCTAAGGAAGTGAGTTTTTTCCAGTTGTGTGTACAGACTTTGTTAGCGTAGTCATATTTAGTGAGTCATTCCAGGTGACCAGACTAATATTCACTGTCTATGGAGCGTACGTTGGACTCGGAGAGAGGCTGCGTGCCTTGATTAGCTGTTTCAGTTTCTCCCCCTGTCAATCACCTACTGGGGGCGGGCTTCTCACATCACAAGTTGGTGCCACGTCATGGATTGAATCGGGTCGTTTCGCTGCCTCTCGAGAATGAAAGAGGAACGATCACTCTCTAAAGCTTGAGGGAATCAATGGAAAAAAAGCAGTTTGTGCATGTGTGTTAAGGCCAAAAAGTAAATCATAGCACCTTTAAATGTCTTCTGTCTCCTTTATATCTATGTGGTTCGGGCCTATCACAGGAAGCAACAACTACATTTTTGTTTTAACACCAAGAAACAGAAATTCTAACAACATGGAAAGGCCTTTTGTTCCCAGTGTGTCTTGTTTTCAGTGCAGGCCGACTCAGCGTGTCCTGAGAACAGCTGATCAGAGACCGACACACTGAGCCACCGCAGGAATGCTCCGTCAGCACCAGTAAAACTCCACAAGCTGCTTCATCCACCCTGCAGCCGCACCGCTCTGCTCCAACGTCCTGTGTGTGGAGAAGAATGGACTCTGGGACGTTTGGGAGTGGTGCAGGATGGAGAAAGGCTGGGATAAAACTCAGGAGTTATTATAGTTATACAGACTATAGTTTTGCACACTTCTGTCTTTTGCACAAATCTGAGTAATTGTATCAATGCCAAATGTGACATGTACATTTCTCCTGTGTGTGAGATCAATTAAGTCTTTATCTTATATTCGTTTTTATGATTATAGGTTACATGTGTACATCTGATCGCCATTTTTCATCATTTGTTTGAAAATTGTGTCATACTTTATAAACTGCTTCTAAATACTGTACTGTAACATTGTATTGCACCTTATACTAGTGATTTGCATATTCTCAATTTTCTGCTAAATTATGGTATCCTGCACATTGTCAGTTACTATGTTGGTAACTTTTTACTGAACTGTATTTCTGATATGTATTTTAGTGACTTGCTCTTTTACTGTATTTTAACATGCAAGTTTCATGAGTGAACTTTAACTTCTAAGGATGACTACAAAAGTGAAAAGGTTAAAAGTATAGTGCTAAATCTGATGGTCATCTTTATAATGTAAATGTACATTGTCCTTAATAAATTCAACTTAAACATTCATCCACCTCTAAAACTGTAAGAATACCTCAAGATTTCAGTGACAGAGTACAGGTGACGTTTGTGTTTGCACTTGTATGAATCTATGAACTATTCATGCACTCGTTTCCCGCTTCAATCAACACAAAACAGATTCTGATATTTTAATAGCAAAACAACTGTCAATATAAAATACATAAAATAAACTGCTGTGAGCAACAAAAACATTCACAAATCTTTTGTCACATATTTTCTTCTTTTTAGCTCAGAGCTATTTTCACTATATTCAACAATCTAACAAAACAAAGGTAACCAGGACGTCCAACTCGAGTATGAAGACAGGAGACCTCCGGGATGAGGGGGAGGGGCCAGAGTCTCATGAAGGGGAGTAGCCAGAGCCACAGGATGGGGGGGACAAGAGCCTCATGAGGGGGAGGGGATCATAGCCTTGAGGGGGGGGAAGCCTCATGAGGGGGAGGGGTCATAGCCTCGAGGGGGAGGGGCCTGGGGCAGTTCATGAGGGGACAGAGGCTAGTGGTGACGGTTCTTTGATGTTTTCTCAGAGTCCGTAAGTGTTCTGTGGTCAGACTGCAGTGGGGGTGGGCGGAGCTTGCGGTGGGTTGCTGGCGGCGGCGACGACAGTGGGCGTGGCTTGTCGGGGTAGAGTGTACATGGCTCCTAGGAACTGGTCGGCAATACGGCCGGCCTCCCGCAGCCCGCTGAGCAGAGCGCCGTGGACTGTGGCCGGGTAGTTCCTGATGGTGTGCTCTCCCGCAAAGAACAGCCGCGGCACGGGCTGAAACACAACACGACATGTACTGAGACAAGTTTATTTGTATATCACAGTTCATACACAAGGCAACACAAAGTGCTTAAAACAATAGATAGATACACTATACAATAAGGCATTAGAATCATAAATAATCACAATATATTAAAAAGAACAACACAACATGAATAAACCGAGAGACCGCAACAAAGTCAAAATGATCTGCCACAGTCTCAGATGATTAAAAGTAAAAGAAATACCTTAAATTAGGGTCGAAAAATCAGGACTGGACAAGTTAGGAAAAGTCATAAAAATTAATTTCGAAAAAAATATCTAGGGTATTTCTTAATCAGTGTGGCGAGGATAGAGCACCATGATCATGGCTGTGGTGTAGATGTGGGGCCAGTTACCTGTGAGGCCCCTGGGATGGCGGGCCCCGGGGTGATGGGCTGTGCCATCAGGTCGTAGTCGTTACCAGAGGAACCTGCCGCCACGTACGAGTAGGAGCCTCTCGCCCACGGGTCAGCACGCCACCGGGTCACCACGGTCTCCTTGGGCTAGAGTCACACACAGATTACAGTATCAGTAACAGGATCATATCACTCCTAATGCATGTAGTTTATGTTTGAAATGAAATTCACAGTGTTCCTGCAGAGCTGACAGAGTTCTTACAAAAGTGAACTTTAGGTTTTTCACATCTGTAATCCAGCCTCATGTTAAAGTGAGCAACAGGCAAATCATTCATTCCCATTCCTCTTTAGTTCTTAGAAGTACATCTTGATTACTTTTTGATTCATGTAATTTTCTTTTTTGCCAGGACGAGTTGAGACGGACACACACAGAGACACACACACACAGACACAGGGCCTGTACCTGTGGCACTGCGCTGCTCCCAAAGATGCCCTTGAGAATGGCGAGGCAGCGGCCCACAATGACGTCATCACTGATGTTCTCCATGATGCCGGCGGCCTCCCCGGCCATCAGAGCCAGGAGGATGGGAGCTGAGCAGAACAAACACATGTGAGACGCTGACAACAGGATTTCAAACGACTACTGCCATGTTGAATAGTTTCTTTTTGAGCAATTATGTGCAGTAACAACTGCTCGTCTCCACAGTCAATTAACATTTACATAAAAAACATACAATATTTTAATGATTACAAAGAAAATAATAATAGCATTTTCTGTTTTAATGTAATTTATCCAATTCGACATAGCCTTATGACGTTTTGATTTCTGATTCAGGCAACGCAGGTTTGGGCAGCCTCGTTTAAATTCCGGTGCATGTGTGATTCTTTAGTTTTTTAAAGTGGAAAAAAAAAACATGTCTCTCAAAAAGTACATATCACCAAGATTGTGCTTAAGGACCCAATGATGAAGAAATAATGTATCAAAGCAGTTGTTTAAGAGAGACGTCGCGGTGGATGTATCGGAGTCTGTGGCGTACCCTTGTACAGGTTCCAGAAGAGGAAGAGCTCCCCTCGGCTCGCGGTGGTGGAGCCCACGTGGCCAAACAGGTTCACACTGGGGTCCCAGAAGACACGGTCAAAGCACAGGACCACCTACACACACACACACACACATTGTTATTGCTCATGACTGTCTTTATGCAGAATTATGCTTTGGCCACCAGGGGCCTGTGAACTAAAAATGTGCTCATCTGTTAAAGGTGTAAAACTGGAATTCTCAGGGAAGTGGATTAAAACGTTAATTATCTTTCATTTTTAAATGAATGATATAAACTTCATGAGTGATTGGATTCATGTTTAAATTAAAATGCAAATGTTTTTTGTGAAAAGTCAGGTCAGATCATCACATGTTTGTATGATATTCTTTTTTGCCGCTTTCCATTTATGTACATACTATTATACATACATAACTATTATCATTGTGTGAAAAATGTAATGAGATCTACGTAATTTTCATGAAGGGAACAAAAAAATAAATACAATACAACAAGATGCATTACGGGGAAGAAGATGGATGGACAGTACGATACAAGGACGGACCACTGTACCTGGTGCAGTTTTTAGGTTTTTGAATCGCAACAGGACCTGTGAGTCTCACCTTGTTGAGGTTCCCGAAGCCCATCCTCTGAATGGCCGACGTCTTCCACTCGGGCAGCGGCGGCACAAACTGCACGGCTGACGGCTGCTGCTTGAGCACGCCCAGAGGCAGCGTGCACAGGACGGCGTCGCATTTGTAGATGAAGGTCTGTGTGGTGGAGCGGGTGTTTACTGCAATCACCTCACAGCCTGAGGAGGGACAGGGCAGAGGGGGAGAGAGTGAGAGAGAGTGAGGGTGAGAGAGAGTGAGAGTGGGACGGCGAGGAGTAAGAAAGTGATTGAGAGTGAGAGGGGGTAAGTGAGAGAGGGTGAGATATACACCCAAGCACTCTCACTACAGTCTGACAGTATAACAGTACTCTCACTACAGTCTGACAGTATAACAGTACTCTCACTACAGTCTGACAGGATAACAGCACTCTCACTACAGTTGACAGTATAACAGCACTCTCACTACAGTCTGACAGTATAACAGTACTCTCACTACAGTCTGACAGTATAACAGTACTCTCACTACAGTTGACAGTATAACAGTACTCTCACTACAGTCTGACAGTATAACAGTACTCTCACTACAGTTGACAGTATAACAGTACTCTCACTACAGTCTGACAGGATAACAGTACTCTCACTACAGTCTGACAGTATAACAGTACTCTCACTACAGTCTGACAGGATAACAGCACTCTCACTACAGTTGACAGTATAACAGTACTCTCACTACAGTCTGACAGGATAACAGTACTCTCACTACAGTTGACAGTATAACAGTACTCTCACTACAGTTGACAGTATAACAGTAATCTCACTACAGTCTGACAGTTACAGTACTCTCACTACAGTCTGACAGTAGGTGGACTTACCGGAGGCCGTGTAGCGGACCTGTCGCACCGCTGTGTTCAGTTTGATGTCCAGTCCTTCGGCCAGAGCCACAGGGACACAAGAGTAGCCGTTCCTAACCGTGAGGTGGCTCCCGGTGAACTCAAAGTCATCGTCCTGCGAGAGGCAGAGGACACACTTTAGATTAGGGCTGTCACCAAACATTATTTTAGTAACCCATTATCCATTCAATCATTTATTAATTAGTTTTCATCCCATTAATTAATCTTCTGTTTCAGGGGGCTGGTAATCCAAGCTGTGACCCAATCTTCATCGACACAGCCCTGGTCTTTCAACTGTCTTGCTCAGGGACACAGCGACAGCAGATGGAGTAGGTCTCGTGGGGGGATTGAACCCACCACCACCAATGCTCTATCAACTGAGCCAACGTCACCCCTAGTAGCCAACTAGTTAAATGATTTTTTTGTTTTTTTCAATAGTGAAAAACTTTAAATTTTTTAAAAAGCTAGGCAAAATTGGTGTGTGTAAGACTTGATTATACATATAATTACATAGTGCTATTTATGTATATTATGACATCTTTAAAGTACATAAATCCACTAACAGCTCTGTGAATTTACCTGCTTTATGTGGAACAGGCCAGATATGAAGTTAGTAGTTTATTTACAGACTGTTCCGTAGCCACACTTAGCATAACAAACATGGTAGCTCTAGCAACATCAGCATGCTCATTTCACAGGATCATTTCAAAAGATATTTCAAAGCTATATTCAGTCGATGGATCTAACATTCCCAGAGTTAACCCTGGACCCAGGGGTGCAGGGTTCCATTACGAGAGGAATTGTGATATTTGGCACAGGGGAGTGTGTATGTGTGAAAGCTGTGTGCGATTATATACAGAAGTAGAGGGCAAAAAAATCTATTCTGTTCAGTATCGCGATATTTTGCAGCCCTACTCAAGACATCTACAAACTACATCATGTGATACGTTTGTGTGACGGAAAAGGTTTGTATGTAAGTGAATGGGTTTAGGCCGTGTGGAGAAATGGAGCGGGTCACACCTGGTCCCAGTGCTTGAGCGACAGCGTGGACAGCGGCGTAGCGTTGGCAAACTCCAGGTTAGCAAAGTGCCAGTCCAGGATCTGTCTGTCCCGCGACGACAGGTACACGTCACTGAGGGAGAGAGAGAGAGAGAGTCTTTACGCTGGTGTTACGTGGAGCTGTGGGAGAGGTCGGCTGGTATCCAAGAAAAATATAACTTTTTTAACTCAGAAGACAAAACAAGAAGACACAATTGAATCTGTAATTAGAAGTAAAGTTTGACCAAAGTAGTAATGAAGAAGTATGAATGTTCAATTACATATTTTTGGATAATTGGCCCAGTTGCAACTGAATTCAACCCTACTAGAAAAAAAAAAAAATTCATCCTCATGTCATGTATAATTAATTTGACAAAATACAAAAATAGGTACAAAAATAATAAAAGAAAACCACTTTTATAGTTTAGGCTCCAACCAGCTCTTAAGTTTTTTAATTTGGCCCCCGACCAAAATGAGTTGGACATCACTGTTCTAAACGATGACAAACCTAAAGGATGACTATTCACATAAGTCTGCGTGGTCCTGTGCGTGGTCTTGGCCCTGTATCCCTGTAGGTGCACTGACCTGGGGGGGTTGGCCTCCAGCTCCTGCAGCTTCTCCTCCAGTTTGGACTGACTCTCCACCAGCTCATCATACTCCTACAATCACACCACAGGGAAAAATCATCCATCCATCCATCCATTTTCTTCCCCTTAATCCATTTCTGGGTCGGGGGGGTGGCAGTCAGAGCTGCACCCAGTACACAGAGCACCAGCCCCTCACTGATCCTCCTGCAGGTCCACAGGAGCTGAGATCTTTCAGTGGGAGCTTCAGGCAAAGTGGGGTTAAGTGTCTTGCCCAAAGACACAACGGCAGCAGTCATCAGTGGGAGTCGTGAAGTAGGTCTTACGGTGGGCTTGAACCCACGACCTTCAGGCTCAAAGGCCAATGCTCTACCAACTGAGCTACTGTCGCCCCAAGGGAAAAATCAATTTAAAAAAAACAATTCTGCTGTTGGCCAAAGGACTTCACTGTATAGGACAAATATGACACATCGTACTGTCAAGGGGTAATGCGATCACCGGTGTGTGTGTGTGTGTGTGAGTCTCTCTCTCTTGTGGTAGTGATTATAATCGTCAGTACCATTTTAGGCAAGGCAAGTGTATTGTAGCCACCGTGTCGCCCCAGGCATTAAAAATAGTAAAGATAAACTTCTTCAGTTGTATACACAGCCAAAAAGAACTGTTCTTCACCTGGACTTGAATAGAACTGTTCAAGATTTTAGCTGCATGAATCTGAAATGCTGCCTCCTCATGGTTAGTTCTGACTCTGGGCAACAACAGGAGCCCAGTCCCTGTGCTCCTCAGAGTCCACATTGGTTCATAAAAAAAGATATGCCAGTATTATTTCAAGCAGTTCTAGTTTTAAGTAAGTAATCTTTATTTATATAGCGCCTCACAAAGCGCTTTACAATTGTTGTGGTCATTTGTCCCTCACTCCCCACAGAGATGGGAGCGGGTTTACCATACAGAAGGCGCATGCCAGAGCTATTGCACTTATTAGTGGTAGAGGAAACCGGTGCAGACGCAAGGGGGGATTCAGAAAGGTCTGGAGGTGGAACCCAGGACCTTCTTGCTTTAAGGCACAACCACATAACTTGATTCATATCTGTTTTTTTACAACTTTACAAAGTACATAGTTTAGATCCAAAACCAACATGACAAGATCAAAGTGAAGGCAGACTATTGTGGAGAGACTTTAGAGGCATAACCAGTTATTTCAAAAGTCAGAAAACCACCAAAAAGACAGAAGGGACAGTTTGATTATGTTTGTCTATGTTAGTTTGGGAACGTGAAATAGGCTCCCCGGGTCTGTTTTTGATGAGGACAGGTTTAAAAAAAGAAGAAATACACATTTTTCAATATTGAGCAAATGTGCTCAAACTTGGAGTCTATATTTAGTTTTCATAGAACAGAGGCTTGACATTCCTCCGCCGCCCACCTCCCTCTGAACCTCCTCACAGGCAGCATCTGTCTCCAGTCCTGCTCCGACCTGGCTCCAAAACACACAGCGCGCCGCAGTGGAGGTGATTTATAAGATCCCTAAATAAGACTGGAAACCTCATTCTAATAATACGCCATCGCTGCATTAAACCACTTAAACACAGGCTGCGTGAGCACGAGCAGAAACCCAGGGACTGGCTCTCGACACGGAGAAATGTGCACTGAACGTGGACTCCAGCAGGAAAGAGGATGCCAGAGGGAGGCTTGTTCACGTCATACTGCTTCAGAAGGCAGCACAGTTCTCACCTCCCCTGCTTTAGCCTCCCTCCACTGGCTTCCAGCATGATGTTTCAGAATTGATTTCAATATTTAATTGTTCACTTTTAAAACTCCGCACAAAAGGTATTTCTCAGGTCTCTGCACTGGCGTCTTGTGACTCAGAGAATAGACAGCTCTTCTTGTGTACACTTCTCTCAATGGCCTCGCACCAAAATACATCTGTGACATTTTGGTTCCATATCAACCGGCTCGGACTCTGAGGAGCACAGGGACTGGCCTCCTGCTGGTGCCCAGAGTCAGGACTAAACATGGGGAGGCAGCGTTTCAGATTTATGCAGCTAAAATCTTCCTGAAAATGTGAGACAGGCTTCTTCCCTGACAATGTTAATAGTGAAACACCGAACGAAGTTAGAAAAAGAACTATTCTTTTTGCCTGTGCATACAACTGAAGAGTTATAGCTCTACTCTTTTTAATGCTTTATTGTTATGGATTATCTTAATTATCTGTGTGATTTTAATTGTGTTTTTAAAGGTGATTTGGGAATTTGCTTTATGTGATGATGTGTGCCTTGTGTGATGTGGACTGAAGCGCTTTGTATTATCCCGAGTCGGAAAAGCGCTCTACAAATTAAGATTGATTGACTGAAACGACCTGGCTGAGGCGATAAGGCTTAGCATCAATAGTAACTTGTTTTAAAGCACTTCTCAAAATCCGCTTTTGTGGACCAACACTGTTCATAAGTGAAATATAATAATAATAAAAATAATTAATTCGTTTAATATTGCGCTTTTTTAGACACTCAACGACACTTCTCAGGCATTTTTAAATTCACTCCATACACAGCGGCGATAAACTACTATTGTAGCCACAGCTGCCCTGGGGCACACTGACAGAAGCTGGGTTTTTGGATAAGGTGATAAATATCTACAGTTGATAATAATCCGGGGGTGAGGGTCTTATACACAGGCTCTGACCTTGCACAGGGCGGTGAGGTCGCGGTGTTTGCTCTTCACCAGGAACTCAGCGGTGATGTCGCGTGGAGGCTTCACGTCGCTGGCCTCCTTGTGCTGCTGGTGGAGCTCTTTGACGCGCTCCTTTGTGGACACCATCTGGAGGGAGTGGCAGAACAGGGACACAGTGACGGAGAGCCCATGAGGAACACGTACAAATGCCGTCGCAACGTTGGACTGACTTTGTTCAGAAGGTCCCTCAGCTCCTCTTGCGTTTTGACAATCTTCTTCCAGTGCTCGATCTGCTCATCTTTGACGTGCTTCTCTTGGAGTCTGAGCAACAAACAGGACACAGAGATCCTTTATTTGTCCCATACTGGGGAAATGTCAGTGTTGCATCACTGGTTACAGAACAGAAGTAAATAGGAGCACACGGCACAAGATAAATTAACAATAACTCTATACTAAAAACAAAATAAAATCTCAAACTTTGGCATAATTAAGAAGCAAGTATGAAATATCTAGCTTTAACATAATAAGTAAGTGAGTAATCTTTATTTATATAGCGCCTTTCACAAACCAGAGGCATAGAGCGCTTTACAATTGTGAGCATTTGTCTCCCACTCCACAGACAACGGGGTCGCCAGTGAAGGAGACATATGCCAGACCTACTGTTCATGTTCTTAGTGGTCATGGGGTAGACATGGGGAGAACATGCAAACTCCACTCAGAAATTCCACCTGGGATTCAAACCTAGGACCTTCTTGCCGAGAAGCGAGAGTGCTAGCCACTGTGCCACCCCAATGAAGCAGCAAGTAAATCAAAATGGTGAGGAGCGAGAGAGACTCACTGTATGACCACCTCCAGGGCCTGCCCCAGCGACACAGGTTTGTTGTTGAGGAAGTTGAAGTCCAGCTGGTGGCTGAGGTAGGATGTGGCCTCCAGCAGCCGGTTGAACTCCTGCTCCACCATCTCGTCCTTCTCTTTGGGCACCTGAGCACAACACACGCGTTACACACCGTATGTAACGTGGGACACAGCAGAAGGCGTGGAGTCCGATAGAGGGAACATGCGTTTGGGAAGCGGGGAAAGAGCGAGTGATTAGTCTGGGACCACAGGGGAAAGAGGGGAGAAGCTCAGCAGATGTGGACCCTCTCCTAGGGTAAGGGACAGGTGGACTCTTTCAAAAGACATTTCAGATGGGTTACAAGGAATATTATGAGAATCATTGTATATATTTTTATCAATATACAAAAATTATTAAAATGTTATATTATTGATCTCTCTTTTCATCACACACGCTCACACTGCAAAAAGCGATTAAAAAAAAGCTTAAATTGGTAACATTAATCTTAATTTGAGCACATTCTGACTACCTTAACAAGCTAATGGGACAAGCTAAATTATCTTGTTTTAAAAAGGTACAATATATATCTCCCTTGGAATGAGGAAATAAAGAAGACTAAATGCCTTTGACCCATTGGCAAATCTTATTTTAACACAGTCAAAATGTACAAAAATTAAGATAAAAACCACTTTAGTCAAGCAAAAAAAAAAACCACTTTAGCAACCTTATTTTCTGTCATATTTTACAGTGTACCAACATCTTTGTTGTGAAATGCATCTTGACAGTTTTGGTATAAAATAGGGATGCAGCGATACTTATTACTGGTATCAGGTTAAAGGCGTCGATACTGGGACATTTAAGGGATGGAATATTGGTTATCCAGATTAATTTATTAATTGAACCCAAAAATACTATTACAATAAAACCAGAATACTATTTTCACTGTTACAGGTAAATGTTGGGCATTAGCAAGTATTCTTGGCCTTTAGATAAGCTTTTTCAGCCAGAAAAGTAAAGAGGACCACCCTCGCTCTCAGCCACTAAGTTAAGAGTGGGCCGAGTTGCAAAATGAAGACAGATTGAGGTCTGAATTGTTAGCTACCCGGATTTAAAATGCCAAACCTGACTAAATGTCAATCGTTATGAACATTGGGGGTTGTTCTAATCTAGATGGAAGAGGGGTGAGGATGGAGGGGGATGAGGAGGACAGGGGGAATAATGATAGAGAATTAAACCCATACATACACTGGTGCACCTTTCCCCCTTTAGCAGATGAACGAGGAGGCACGGGAGAGAAACACACACATGTTAAGTTCAGACATAAACATGGATTTATACAATTATTCAGCTTTTGGTTCTTGGACACCTCAGCGACATCATGACCGTGTCGTCACTTGTGCTTGAAAATGTACACACCCAGGAAGAAATAAAAAAATTTCTGGCCATATTTGGGCGTTCATGAATGTTAAAATTGTTAGCGATTGTGATATAAAGGCATTAATAACACATTTTATGGGTGAGACAACTTTCAATCACCACTTGAAATAAAAACAATTACATCTGCTCCTTTACAAATGATAAAATACAAGCTGCATGCTGCACTCAAACTTGTAGCATGTCCTTGCGCCCTCTGCTGGATTCTTCTTTCTATTCGGTCACATATTATGTACCAAATTTCTCAATGGCCAATATTTAGGTAGATGGATAGAGATCAGTGAGAGCAGATCCGTCTCTCAATGTGGACGTCCCAGAGGTTTCGCCATTTTTCCAACTGGGTTCTAGAGTGGTTCTTTGCTGATGCAGAAGGATCTATGAACAGTGGTGACGATCCAGGGCATTTATGAACATTGGTCATCTGCCCCCAATGGACCAATGGCTTTTGTACATGTTTAGTGGTAGGAGAAACAGGAGCACCCGGAGGAACCAACGCAGATAGGGGGGAAACATACAAACTCCACTGAGGCTCTGTCTGGAGGTGGAATCGAACCCAGGACCTTCTTGCTGAGAATAGAGAGTATTCAGCCACTGTGCCACACATTTATGTCGTCAGACACCAGACAACGCTGGCTCTTTGTGATTTTGGTTGAAAAAGAAGAGCAGCAAAAGAAAAGAAAATTCTGCATAACACTAGGCGAAAGACAGAGTTGCCTTGTAGTTTTAGTGGACAAATGACCAAAACGTCTCCAAGTCTGTTTTCCACAACGTTACGACTTGCTCAAATAGGGCAGACCTTAAAATATTTGGGGCGATGTAATCAGTGTGAGTAAGTAAACAACAGCGTGTCCTAGTTAAGCGTGAAACACATTAGGAGCGCACTGGAAAAACTAAACGCACTCCCTGTAAAAACACACACACACACACACACGCACACACGGCCTCCTACGGTTGCATCAGCCTCCCGGGGGCTGGCTGGCATCGTGGCTGACCCCAGGGATTCCGACAATTAGGCAAATATTTCATCAGGAAAAAATGTTATTCTTGGCAAGAGAAATGTGTGTTGCTGTTGGCTCCGCTTGTTGTGCGTCCAAAGAGTTGTGTTGTCGGACACGTAGTCTCCACACAGGTCTCAAGGGTTTGTATGTTTTGGGCCAATGGTGACTTAGCATTATCATTTCATTGCCTTCATAAGACATTTAAGCGACATAAGAATTGAACAGGTGTGATATATTATTTTTCTTGATGACTGTGTGTGCGCGTGTGTGTGGTACTCACTGCTTGTCCGTTGGCTTCATACAGAGGACACTTCTGCTTGATTTTGGCCAGCTCCATGTTGACCTGTTTGCTGACCACAGCCATAGGGTTCCCTCCTGGACACAACGCACAAGTCAGAGTTTGAGGCTATGTATCCGCTGTCAATAACAAAACATTCTAATGGGGGTCCCAGTGTGGTCTGGGTTAGGGTCTGAATAGGAGCTAGGGTCTGGATAGGAGCTAGGGTAAATCCTCTTCTGTCCCTGATCAGAAGTCAGTGTTTTTCCCTTTAACATTGTTGTGGAAGAGGTCCTGTATCCACTCTGCCCGTTCTTCTCGGCAAAAAGCCCCCAGTTCTTGTAAATTCCTGGGCCGCCTTACATGTTATCAATTCATATTAGTAAACATGTTTATTGTTGAGAAAGAGATCCACACAAATGTCATAACCTCCAAAATACGCCCAAGCAAATGCGCAGACTCCCTGGGTGTCCATGTTTCCAAACCCAAAATGAATGGAAGCATCTTACCTAAACCGGTGACCACCATGGCTCCCAGGTCAGCCACATAATTGCCCTTCCTGAACGTGGCCACTCTGCCGCCCACACGGTCCTGGTGAGACAAAAACATTAGTGCTTTGATCAGGGCATAATTAAGATGAGATCCTTTATTTGTCCCACAGTGTATATATAAAATAGGGCTGGGCAATAAATCGAATTTAGGCAATTAATCGGCTTTTAAAAAAAATCGAATTTATGAACAATTTGAAAATCATGAAATCAAATGAAGGATATTGTGAGTTCCAGCAGCACAAGAATTACACCTGCAATATCAGCGCAGTCTGTACAAGACTTTTTAAATACGCACTGGGGGAAACAAATTAGAAATAGTTTTGAAACTTGAATATTGAGCGGAAAAATCAAAACATATTTTTAAGGGCAAAGTCTGTCTTCGGCGACTTTAATGAAAATCGATTAAAAATCGAGATCGTCCAAAGCTGGAAGTAAAATCGAGATTTTACTTTTTTGCCATATCGCCCAGCCCTAATATAAAATATTTCTAAATATATTCTGCTAAATAAGTTAAGCAAAATAAAACAAGAATCAAGTTTAGCATAATGAAGCAAGAACTAATTACAAAATCTTAGCATAATAAGAAGTCGTTTTAAGTCTCTAACTTAAGCAAAATATAATATTGTATATTCCAGTGCAAGAGATACATAGCTGTATGTATAAATCGGTCCATATATTGCACATTCTGACATTATTAAAATGAATGCACATAAGATTATCCTCTGCCTCATGTCCTCTTACCCTGGCCTCCAACACGGTCACATCCATCCCAAAGCTCTGAAGCTGTCGCGCTGCAGCCAGACCCGAGACGCCTCCTCCGATCACTATCACCTTCCCCGTCTTTTTAGCTGTGCACAAACACCAGAATATACTTTACAATAACATTAGGACGAGCCCTGTGCGTCGCTGCTTGACTGTTTGGGGTTGAGAGGTGATTGGCAGAGTGTGGGAGGTCCTCTATTCCGCACTATTCGGTCTCAATAAGCTGATCTAAAGATGTGGATGTGACAGAGGCCAAAAACAAATTGAAAAAAAAAATGGAAAAACTGAAAGTGATAAAACCAAACTACTGTAGCTCCATTTCTTGAGATTTGAAAGTTAGGTACCACAGCTTCAACAAGAAAATACATGGATAAACAGATCAATTTAGAAGCGGAAAAAGGGGGAAAATTATAGTGGTGCAGGAAAAAAACTATCTTGTTCAGTATTCGCGATATTTTGTGCATGCATTAAATCAGTAAGCAATAATAATAATACAGTAAAGCAAAGTATTGCAATATTTAATTAAATAATTATCTGTTTAACTTTTGTGTTTTCCTGGCGTTTACTCTGGTGATTTACATCTATGTATTACATCCAAAAGGTGGCACTTGAATCATATCCAAGTCCTGAATGTTTTGAACACGGGAACATGGCTCAAAGCTCTAATAGATGATTATACAGAATGTCTGGATTAAAGCATAGACTCACTCGGCAAAGGCTTGACTCGTTTGTAAATGCCAAAGTTGATGAGTCCGTGTCGTTCTAGATAGCTGTGTATCCGGTGGACCAGCACCGCGTCACCTGGAGGCACAAGGACAGCTTTAGGATGGGAATGGTGCGATTACCCAAGCACCAGGAACTCACTGTTGTAGGGGGCCTCCAGCTGCTGCGCTGTGGCCTCAAACGTCAGCTGGATCTTGGGGTTGTCCAGCCACAGTTGAAGCTAGAAGCAGAGATACACATACCATCAAATACGATGACAAAATATGATAAAGAGACGCTTTTGAGGAAGACAGGCCAAAACATGTCAAGGTTGGGATTTCTTTTTTACCAAAGCAGATCTACTCTAAACAAGTATTTCTATTTGTGATTTAAGTAATTGCTTTTTTTCACATCCCATGGTGCATGTGGTTTCAGTGGAGGGACTCACGGTGCGGTTGCGGATGTAGAGGAAGACCTTCTGAGTCTGCTGAGGCCCGCTGATGATGTCGGGGAAGCAGGCGGCCTCCTGGGACGTCATGCGGTCGTGAGGCAGACGGCTCTGGAACGCTGCGCCTTCTACACCTGACCACACACAGCTTATAAGAGGCTTTCCATCTGAGGTGAGGTGAGGAAGAGGGTTGTCAAGAGTGTCACATCCACAGCAGAAAACCTGAACGCCGCTAAAGAAGCCTGTGCCCCGTTTGTGTTCGAGCAAAATGAGCGGTGCCTCGGTGCAGATGTAGGAAACACAGACGGTGATGTTATAAATGGGGGGTGCCGTTTACCACACGGGTGGGTGGGCATTCAGGGCTTTGATCTCACTGCATGCGGTACGTTTCACACACGGTTCATTAGCTAACATGAAAACATGAAAACGAGGGTTACGTATGTAACCACGGTTCTATGAATCCCGGATGACCGCCAGAGGGCGGTGCATAGCACTGAATGTTCCCTTCGCGCATGCGCAGTTCGAGTAATAATACCAAATGAGTCACACCTGTGACCCCCTGGGTGACACACCGGAGGTAATAAAGTCCAGCGTCATCCAGCACTCTGTTCCTGCAGAATCTTCTCGCGGATGCAAGGACCCTGAGTGACAGAGCGCCTCTGGCGGTCATCCGGGATTCATAGAACCGTGGTTACATACGTAACCCTCGTTCTATTTCATCCCTTCAGACCGCCAGAGGGCGGTGCATAGCACTGAATGACCTTATACCAGCTATGTCACGAAGGAACTTGACCACACACCTCACGGAGGAGAGCCAGAGGATTCCTGAAGGACCACGCCAAGAGGAGCCGGAGTGGCCACATTGATGTTATAGAATCTGGTGAACGTGCTTGGTGTAGCCCAAGACGCAGCAGCACAAATAGTTCCCAACGGCACCCCGCGCATAGCGGCCCAGGAGGTAGAGACACCCCTGGTAGAATGGGCCCTCACCGTGGCTGGCGGGTCGCGGCCGGCCGAAATATACGCCTGACTGATAACGTCAACCACCCAGTGGGAAAGGCGTTGCTTCGAAAGCGGACTTCCCAGTCTAGCACCACCATAAGCAACAAAGAGCTGGTCTGAGCGCCTCACACCTGCCGTCGCAGCAACGTAGGCCTCCAATGCCCTCACAGGACACAGCAGGTGCAGTCTGTCCTCACCCCCATCCAGGGGGGACACAAACCGCGCCAACCTCAAAGGCCGGTTACAATAGTCACGGGAAAGCACCTTAGGGAGGAAAGTGGGATTAGGCCACAAGACCACGCCAGCCCTCTCAGGATCCCAGTGTAGGCATGAGGGACTGACAGAAAGTGCATGCAACTCACCGACCCTTTTTGCAGAGACCACAGCCAACAGGAAAGCAGTCTTATAGGAGAGCCACTTGAGGTCCGTTCGGGCCAATGGCTCATACGGAGGGCGGCAGAGAAACTCCAACACCAAGGCCAGGTCCCAAACCGGAGACCGCGCGGGCACGCGAGGGTGCAGCCTACGAGCTCCGCGTAAAAAGAGAGACACCAGGTTATGGCCCCCCACAGTACAGTTATCAACCAGGCCATGATAACATGAAATAGCAGCAACATATACCTTCAGAGTAGATGGGGCCCGACCTTCATCCAGGAGAGACTGAAGGAATTCCAGGACAACCGCCACCGGCCACGACACGGGATCCCGACCGCGGGAAGAACACCAGCGGGAGAACAACTTCCACCTGTTCTCATACAACCGCCGAGTAGAGGCCGCCCTGGCATTCAGGAGTGTACGCCTGACAGGGCCAGTGACATCGAGTGCCCGCAGCTCGGGCCAGCCAACGGCCATACCCACAACTTGAGGCGGTGAGGACAGGGATGCCACACCTGACCGTCCAGCTGTGAGAGCAGATCCCGCCTGGGAGGGAGAGGCCAGGGGGGAGCCCAACAAAGTCTGAGTAGCAGTGGAAACCAGGGCCGTGCAGGCCAAAACGGAGCCACCAGTAATAAACTGTGCCCCGCCCGAAGGACCCTCTGGAGGGTTGGCCAGATCAGAGGAAAAGGGGGGAAGGCGTACAGGAGGGCCTGAGGCCAACTGTGCGCCAGGGCATCCTGGCCGAGAGAGCCCGGAGCCCCGTCCAGGGAAAAAAACTGAGGGCAATGAGTGGAGGCCACCGAAGCGAACAGGTCCACCTGTGCCCGACCAAAGAGGCCCCACACCCTCTGGACCACACCGGGGTGGAGACACCATTCCCCCGGGGCAGGCCTCCCGCGAGACAGGGAGTCCGCCACGCGATTGCAGTCCCCTGGCAGATACGCTGCACGCAGTGTAGCCAGGCGAGGCGCAGCCCAAACCAGCAGAGCCTGAGACACCTCGAGGAGCCGAGCCGATCGGACACCCCCTTGATGGTTGATGTGATACACGACCGAGGTGTTGTCCGAACGAATGAGGACATGTTTCCCCAGCAGGTGAGGCAAAAACTCCTGGAGAGCAAGGTGGACGGCCCGAAGCTCCAGTACATTTATGTGGTCTGAGCGCTCCGCCCGAGACCAAACCCCTCGGGCCAACCTGCGCTGCCACACAGCACCCCATCCCGTACGGCTGGCGTCGGTGGTGACCACTTCCCTGCGGCACACTACCACCCCCAAGGGGACCCCACGTGACAGGAGACCGCGGTCCCTCCATGGAGCCAAAGCACGAAAACATTCCCACGTCACCTGTAACCGTCTGTGGCGGTGACGAACGGCATCCAAACGAAACCCGTTCAGCCACCTCTGCAACGGGCGAAGCGAAAGCAGCCCGAGAGGAACCACACGAGAGATCGAGGCCAGCTTCCCCACCAGCTGTAGAAAGCTGACGTAACTGTGCAGAGTGCCAAGACCGAAACGGGACACCACACCGTGGATGTCGACCAGGCGGCGCCCCGATGGACGCGCCGTCATAGTCACCGTGTTCAGACTCAGGCCAAGAAAAACAGCGGCCTGCGAAGGTACCAGGCTGCTCTTTTCGAAATTGACCCTGAACCCCAAGCGGGCGACATGAGTCAGAAGGCGCTCCGTATCTTCCAAGGACCGTGCCCTGGACGGGGCGCAGATCAACCAATCGTCCAGATAAGGCAACACCTTCATGCCACTGGCCTGTAGCGGAGCAAGAGCCGCCTTCACGCATCGGGTGAAAACCCTCGGAGAGAGAGAGAGGCCAAAGGGAAGAACCCTGAACTGCCAGTGAACGCCCCGATAGGCGAACCGGAGGAACCGCCGGTGGGGCTGCGCAATGGGCACGTGAAAATACGCGTCCCTCAAATCTACGGACGTGAACCATTCCCCGGCCCCAACAGTCTGAAGGACTTCCGCAGTCGTCAGCATGCGAAATGGAATGACCTTCAGGAAATGATTCAAGCCCCTCAGATCCAGAATTGGTCGAAAACCCCCCGTCTTCTTGGGCACGAGAAAATAACGGGAGTAATAACCCCTGGGTTGCAGCAGCGGATCTACCGCCTCGATGGCACCCTTGGTCAGGAGGGCGGAGAGCTCCTGATCCAAGATAAAGGCTTTTGCCGGGTCCGAGAACAAAGTAACCTTGACCCGGCCCGACAAGTGCGGCCGGCGTCGGAATTGCAGACGGTATCCGTGGGTCAATGTGGCAACCACCCACGGATCCCGAGCTCGAGCAGCCCAACACTCGAGCTGCTGATGGGAAAAATGTCCGACGCTCGGCCCTGAGGCGTCAATTCCGTGCCCCCCGCCCCCTAGGGGCTCTGGGGGGACCCCGCCCAGGACCAGCCGCGGCGCCACTTGGCTGGCGGGTCGGGCGCCTATGTACGGGTGGGGCACGAAAATTCCCGGCAGGCCTGACCTGGGGAAAACGCTGAGCACCAGTCCAATCCCGAGGAGGCTGCCGAACACCGGGGGCCACCATCGGGCGCAAAAACTGCCGGGGAGGGCGCACCACCCTGCTAAGGCTAGAAAGTTGCTGTCTAGTCTGACCAGCATGGACAGTCCGGTCCAATGCTTCCTGGGCCGCCGTCCCAAACATCTGACCCGGCTCGACAGGCACGTCACGGAGGGTCCTACGACAGGCCTCAGTCAGGGGAGACTGAGCCAGCCATACCTGCCGACGAGCCTGTACAAGGACCGACATGACCCGTCCGAGTTCCCTGGTCATCAAGGCAAAAGCGTGCAGAGCTGGGTCGCTAAACGCAGTAACATCAGTGCCCACAGCACTACCCTCTTGGAGGGAGGCAGACAGGGCAAGCAGCAGATGCAATCCAGGCCAGCCGAAGAGGCATCGTGCATCGCGGCCAAAGCCCGACCCTCAGCCGAAAGCTTAGAGAGACGGCTGGGGTCCCTCCAGCACGCGTGTAGCTCCTTCAGATACTCCGCGGATGGGGGCACAACAAAAGCAGGAGACGAACCACCACGCCTGAAAAAAACACTGCCAGGGTCAGCCTGTCCCGACTGGGGAAGTTCCACCTGCAGACGGGATAAGGCCCTGCGAAGAACCTCCTGCATTGAGCCGTCACCAGACCGGCTGGACACACTATGTGCGGAAGAATAAGCATCGTCCCCCGAAAGGGACCGCGCGTCATCCTCGTCCCGGAAGCACGAAGCAGATGCCGCCAGAGAAAGCACATCCTCCTCCGGATGGAGGGATGGCATGGAGCAAGAACCAGCCCCAGAGACTGCATCAGCAGCACAACGTGCCTGGAATGCAGATTTCATCGCCTCCAACTCTGCAGATAACTGCTCCACCCTCGACACCAGGACAGCATCCGGCTTGGCCTGCTTGGAAGGACCATGGCCATCAGACCGCTCCCCTGAAGCACAGGCCTCAGCACGGCGCTTAGAACGCCGAGGGGGCGGAGCCACAGCAGGTCCCACTGGCAAACTACCACCGTCGCCAGACGAAGGCAGCTGAACCAGCCTCGCCACCCTAACAGCCCAGGGCAAGCAGCTGCAGTTCATGCACGGGTTATCGGACACTGCCTCCCTCAAGTGAGTGGGGCCGAGGCACGCCGGACACAGGTCATGGCCGTCATCAACATCGAGTGCTGACCCGCAGCCCACACACGCATGTGACCCGTCCATAACAACAAGGTTGTATTTCTTTTATTATTATTATTATTATTATTTTTTTTTTTTATTATTATTATTTTTTTATTATTATTATTATTAAATTATTATTCTTGTTTCGACTGTGTCGTTAATTAAATATGTAATTAATCCCCAACGGTATACAAACTGCAAAACTGAATCAACGTATTGCAGTTTCACAACAGAAAAGCCAAATATAGCACGGTGGAGGAGCGGACGCGCGAACAGCAGCCTTCACACCACACAATGCACCCGCAGCAAAATGCCACTCGAATAAAGTAGTGATGGAGGAGAGGGCGCGCGAACAGCAGCCGTCACACCACACAATACACCGGCAGTAAAACGCCAACTCAAAATAAAGTAGCGATGGAGGAGAGGGCGCGCCAACAGCAGCCTTCACACCACACAATACACCGGCCACAGAATAAACACAGGCAGCAAATGCTAACCCAAACAAGAACTGATGGAGGAGCGGGTCAACGAACCGCAGCCTTCACACCACAGAGGACACCGGTAATAAAAACTAACCCAAAGAAGAACTGATGGAGGAGCGGGCGCGCGAACAGCAGCCTTCACACCACAGAGGACACGGGTAGCAAAAACTAACCCAACTAAGAACGGATGGAGGAGCGGAACCGCAGCCTCACACCACAGAGGACACCGGTAATAAAAACGAACCCAAAGAAGAACTGATGGAGGAGCGGGCGCGCGAACAGCAGCCTTCACACCACAGAGGACACGGGTAGCAAAAACTAACCCAACTAAGAACGGATGGAGGAGCGGAACCGCAGCCTCACACCACACATGTAGCAAAAGGCTAACCCAAATAAGAACCGATGGAGGAGCGGGCTAACGAACCGCAGCCTCACACCACTCAATACACAGTTAGCAAAGCTAACTCAAACATGCACAGGCGGAGGAGCAGGCCAACGAACCGCAGCCCTCACACCACGAAATGCACGTACCAAAAGAAAGTACTGACGGAGGAGCGGGCGCCACAGCAGCCTTCACACCAACCAATACACACGCATATAGTACAGAAAACACCGATAAATACCCGAAGGACAACGTCACCGTCGCGCCCCACGGAGGGCGAACCGCAGCTCCGATGAAGAGGGCTCTCAGCGACAGACGTTGACGAAGTTCAAGCAACAACGATTCGAACCGCACGCGAGAAGAAAAAAGGAACAGAGTGCTGGATGACGCTGGACTTTATTACCTCCGGTGTGTCACCCAGGGGGTCACAGGTGTGACTCATTTGGTATTATTACTCGAACTGCGCATGCGCGAAGGGAACATTCAGTGCTATGCACCGCCCTCTGGCGGTCTGAAGGGATGAAATAGAACCCAAACAGCTAGTGACTTATTACTTCAATTCAACTCTATTTTGGTTTGGCCCTAAATTACTTTACAAAACTGTCAAATTTGCCAACATTTGAATGGAATTAAATTACTTTATTATTCTTGTGTATTCTAGTAAATGTATTACAGATTCATCTAAAGATGTATAGATACAAGTATATATTTTTTTTTCACAAGAGTATTTACTTAACTGTATCCCCATTACCTGGACTAGTTGCTAGTCTCCCTTGGGTCCACCAACACAGAGATTATAGGTTTATAATTTATATTTGTCTATTTTTTATATTCCAAGTTCATTAAGCTTAAGAGATATTTTTTATTATTCCTATTTTTTTGCTATACTTAATATTCACTTATCTTGTGCTGTGTGCTCCTCATTCCTAATGTTCTGACAAATAAAGCTTCTCTTAATATCTTAACCTTGGCGGGGTTCTCGCAGTGTGAAAGGCAACGGTGTACTGCACACTGCGCATCCACACACACTCACACACACAAATACGGATACATAAACATGCGCGCACATAAATACACACACACAACGCGGAAGAGCATATCGTTTACTATAATGCAAGTCACAATAACAACTAATAATCATTTTGAAACATTGCTATAGAGTTGTATTATAAACTATAATATTGAAACAACTTTGTGCCACTGGTGCGATTACGAAACAGCAAATTATCAATTCATTTTCATCATTAAAAGTCATAAGCTGACTAAATTAACCAATAATCAGCCATAACAGTGACATATCCGGCTCAATTTGTATTGTGTCACAAATAATCTAGTCAAAACAAAGAGCCAAAATGTACTGTTCCATCAAAGTCGTTTTTGAACAATAAAATGAATTGATTACTGTATATTTCATCACTTTTTGGACACTCAAAGACACTTTATAGAAGAACAAATAGAAAAAAAACTAAAATAAACAGATATGTGAAGGCAGTTTAAGTGGCTAACATGAGTTGAAACCTCCACCTGTGCTGTCACACTAACTCGGGCTGGTTCATTAAAGCAGTGAACAAACACATAGCAGCGATTGAGAAGACAATAGAGATGTGAAGTGCCAAGCCACCTCTGGTTCGAGAAGTCAAAACCCATTCACTTTGCCCATTGGGGTACATGCGTCATGCAAAGCCAACTGGTGTTTGTCAAAAAAATCTTTAGCATAATTTTCTTGACACTGTTCTCATATGAGAGCATTTTCCCACTCACCAGACGGCTCCTCGGGCTCACTGTCTGGCTCCTCTTCGGGCGGCGGTGGAGGGGGAGGCAGCACCTGGAAGCAAGTCAGTCTCGAGTAAGTAACAGAGACAGAGAGAGAGAGACCAGACTGAAGCCACTGAAGTAGTAGCCAGGTATTTTTTCAAACTTATGTACAAGTGAAAAAAACAATAAACCGGATACAAAGTAAAAGACAATACACTGTAAGCATAACTGATTTAATGTACCGGCTGTGTTTATTTAGACTTGCATGGCTTATTCTTTGAAACAAGCATATACTACTGGCAGGAACAACCCGATATCCCTCTGGAAGTGGGGTCATTATATACAGTATCTGCACCACATATTTCTACCCAATGCAGATAAGTCATATTCTTTATTCTTCTTTAAGGGTATATTATGCATGATTCTAGTTTTAGAAAAGTCGCTCTCCAGTAAAAAAAAAAGGTTGGAGACGCCTGGTATAGAGCATACGAGACCTGCTTCCTCTCCTTCTCCGCCTTGGCGTTCCGCTCCTCCTCAGAGTAGTACTCATCCTCCGACAGGTTAGCCAGGCTTTCGTCCATCTCGCGATATTCCACCTGCAATAGGTCGCACAATAAAAGCAACATTAAAACCTGCGTGGTGATGCTGGAAGCTCCCCATGTCAGGACCACTGACCCTCAGCGCTGCACCTCACCATCTTCTGTAGGACAAACACATAAAAGATAAAGATCATTTGGAAATGTATTAATTCATGTTTTTTGTTTTGCAGTTCATGCTCTAAATATAGTATTCTGAATAATTTGATGGTAGTTTGTTAATGGTTTAGTTTGGGGTCTAGAATTGTGGATAGATTTAACGGTGAAGGGAACACTAGAATCATACTGAATGCATTTTTGGCCAATGAACCTCGTGAATCTAGGCCATCGAGAAGTCTTATGTCTGTCTTATGTGGACTTTCAGGTGTAGCAGCCTGCGAGTCCAAGACAAAGTTCCTTTGGGACATAATGGATGAATCAAGAACCCTGTATGAGAGTTATTTTTCGATACAAAGTTTGAGTAATAATGGAAAGTTAGTAGGAAATGCGTCCACTCTGTCCCTGTTTATGCAGACTCTATTAACATTAGATAGTTACTTTCGCTCGTTTGCGTCGGCTGGTCCTGCGCACTTCGGCTGCCTCCAGGTCCGCTGCACTGGGCCCCCCCGGATGAGCTCCAGACGGGGGCGCTCCAGGCTCTCCGCTGGGGGAGGACCTCTCCTTCTTCTTCACCTCCATGAGGCCCACAGAGGAGGAAGAGGAGGGGCCGGTCTGAGCGTCAGGGGCTGGGGCCGAGGCTCCTACAGAGGAGGACGACGAGCCAGCATCAGACTTTTTGCTGGAGAGCATCATGGAGGATGTTGGAGGCCTCTCCTGCAACACGGGATAGAAAATTTTAAGGCGGAAGCTAGCTCGGTTTAAAGCTGGGGTACTTTAGTAAACATTAGGCTAAACATTTTCGGGTTGGCAACACTCTTAGACATGAATAACTACACATGACTCTGGTTGAACATTTACAGTAAATTCAGCAAACTAAAAACTGAAAAGTGTGCTAATGCAACTTATGTAATGTAGTATATTTCAAACCTGCGTGCACACATTTCACATAAAAACTACAGCGCCTAGCAAAAGTATTCATTTGGCATTTTGTGTGTTTTGTTGCCTCACAACCTGGAATTAACATGGATTGTTTGAGGATTTGCAACAGTTAATTTACAAAATATGCCCACAACTTTGAAGATGTTGTGAAGCAAACAAAAAATAGGACAAAATAACAGAAAAGGTCAATGTGCATAACTATTCACCCCCCTAAAGTCAATACTTTGTAAAGCCACCTTTTTCTGCAATCACAGCTCCAAGTCGCTTTGGATAAGTCTCTAGGAGCCTGCCACATTTTACCACTGGGATGGATAGCCTCAAATCACGTGGTACAGGTTTTTTCTCAAGAATATCCCTGTATTTAGCACCATCCATCTTTCCCTCCACTCTGACCAGTTTCCCAGTCCCGGCTGCTGAAAAACATCCCACAGCATGATGCTGCCACCACCATGTTTCACTGTGGGGATGGTGTTCTTTGGGTGATGCTATGTCTGGCGCAAACCCAACACATCACGTTTTCCTTGATGGCTGAAAAGTTCAATTTTAGTCTCATCAGACCAGAGCACCTTCCTCCATACATTTTGCGAGTCTCCCACATGCCTTTTCGCAAACTCAAAACATGCCATTTTGTTTTTTGCTGAAAGTACTGGCTTTCTTCTGGCCACTCTGCCATAAAGCCCAACTCTATGGAGCGTACGGCTTATTGTCGTCCTATGTACAGATGCTCCAGTCTCTGCTGTGGAACTCTGCAGCTCCTCCAGGGTTACCTTAGGTCTCTGTGCTGCCTCTCTGATTAATGCCCTCCTTGCCCGGTCAGTGAATTTTGGTGGGCGGCCGTCTCTTGGCAGGTTTGCTGTTGTGCCATGTTCTTTCCATTTGGTTATGATAGATTTGATGGTGCTCCTGGGGATCATCAAAGATTTGGATATTTTTTTATAACCTAACCCTGACTTGTACTTCTCAACAACACTGTCCCTTGCTTGTTTGGAGAGTTCCTTGGTCTTCATGGCAGTGTTTGGTTAGTGGTGCCTCTTGCTTAGGTGTTGCAGCCTCTGAGGCCTTTCAAAAAAGGTGTGTATGTGTACTGGCAGATCATGTGACACTTAGATTGCACACAGGTGGACATCATTTCACTATTTATGTGACTTCTGAAGGTAATTGGTTGCACCAGAGATTTTTATGGGCTTCAAAACAAAGGGGTGAATACAAATGCACATGCCAATTTCCCGTTTTTTATTTCTGAAAAATAGTTTTATGTATATATTTTGCTCAATAAACTTCATCAACAGACTATTGTTTTCTGATCCATCACATGAAATTCAGATTAAAAAACATTGAACTAAAGGCTGTAATGTAACAAAATAGGTAAAAAGCCAAGGGAGGTGAATACTTTTGCAAGGCACTGTATATAGGATACAAAATAAGTAATTCTACACTAAAATAAATGTAATTTGATGTTTTGTTCACTTTTAGTAGCACATGAGCCACAACTAAACATTTTATAATTGCTTTTTTTATGCTAAAGTTAGAGATTTTTATTTTATTTTAGTATGGAGTTACTGTTCATTATCTTGTGCTGTGTGCTCCTCATTCCAACTGTTCAGTAACTGGTGATGCAACACTAAAATGTCTCCACTATGGGACAAATAAAGGATGTCCTTAAGAGATGCCTCTTTGGGCTGAAAGCTGATTGGCTGCTGCAGTGAGGTCAACTCTGATAATAAGGCAGAGGGACCAGAGGGACTAGATGCATTTAAAAATATAATTAGGTACCCCAGCTTTATCAGCACAATGAGAGAAAGACCAGGTTTTATGTACATTATGCCAGTTAAGACAATAAAGACAACAGCTTTAAAATGCTATGAGATGACTATGAAGAACTGAAACCTTGGAAGCTCAATAACAAAGGAACACATAAAAAAAACAACAAACAAAAATGTGTATTACTTGATGCTCGATGAGTCTAATGATGTGATTTATGAATGTACTAGGGCTGGGTAACCTTTACTAGGCCTGGGTATACAGTACCATGGCTGGGTATTCTGGCTATTTAAAGGGGACTTTCAATTTGATACTATTCGATACTAGGGATGCACCAATGTTTGCCTAATTAACTTTGGCCATTGGCAAAGAGACAAGAAGAGGGCGTTCCTGCACTTTCCTCAGTAGAAGAAAGAAAGAAGGGGGACTGCTAGAAAATGTATTAATAGAACGAATCTTATTGGACATTTGAAAAGCAAGCATGAGACGATGTACAGCAATTGCACGCAAGCTGAAGAAATATATAAATAACAGAAAGAAAAAACATCGGCCAAGATCAAACGAGAAATTGAAACAAAAAATAAAATTACTATCACACAAAAAATCAATATTGTAAACAATTTAGACACAAATATTACTATGGAAATTGTTTAACACTAATACAGGGTAATAAGCCATCTGTGACAAATACAGTATTTTCATTATGGGGTCACCTCTGATCCCAATACTTGAATCCAATTGATGGTGACAATTTTAATACCAGCCAGATAAGACAGCGTATCATTATAACTCAAGCCAACACAAAACAAAGATTAAACAAATTAAGAAATTACAAAGTACAAAGTAAAGAAATGAATATTTAAGCAATTCTAGAAAACCTTAAACAATGACAACAATAAATAGGTAAAATGTCACAATGAACAAAGATTTGAATTGTTTTACTACTTTGTGCTAGATGGGGGTTTTATTTTAAAGATCAAGATTAAAACTTTCAAAGCACTAAACATCGAACTATTTAAGAAAATGTCACCAATCTTTTATTCTGAAGCTAGTTTTCACATGCATGTATTTGTGGCCTGTCACAGCTCAGCTCATAGATCAGCATCGTCAGGCAGAAAGTGAAAAAGAGAGGACCACCCTGATTCAGTTCTCAGTCCAAAGTGTCAAATTGTACCTCACAGGGCTCACCGTTTTCTAATCATAAAAATACTGTATGCCGTGGTCTAATTAGTACAGACAATATGGCTGTCTGTATCTTAGTAACAACAGCGTAATGTCCCAGCCCTAATACAAGCCATTTCTCCGCTTAGCACAAACTCAAATAGCCCGTGCAAGGATGACTAATGTGTATGGCGAGTATGAAATGACCGCTGCTTCATGATAAAGTAACCGGATTTGGCTTTACCCATTTCTCCGTGCACCTTGTAACATCCATTTAAACACTAAGGGATGGAGACAGAACCACAGAGGGATTACAAACAACAGCTAGCTATGCCTTTATAACACATGCACAAATTTACAATGGCAAAGACGAGCAGACTATTGGTGCAGACAAATCAAAATATAACTAGCTAGCTTCAAAGCATCTCCCTACTCTTCTCAAAATGGTATAGTTAGCATGTTAGCTACACACCGGGTATATCAAACCAAATAACCAAATAGAAGATAAATCACCTTAAATATACATACGTTTATTCAAGAAGTAAAAGTCTAGTGCCTTGTGTTGTTAGCATAGAGCCTGGGTTGAGCATTTGTTATGATCGCGCTATGCTAAATATGCTAAATATGCTAACAATGCTAACAATGAACCACCCCCCCATTCGGCAGGACTGAGAAGCAGGTGCGAGCTGTAATTTTTAGCACTCTACGTCGATCTAAAGATAAAATACAAGTGTTTGTGTGCTATTTAGTGTGTGAAATGTGTATTACAAACGGGTGACGCGTTCATAAGAACTGCAGAGCGTGACGTTACCTCTTTACGCCTCGCAGATGTCAACACAAAAGGCAAAGCTGTTACGAGACCCCAGAATGAATGAACTCCGTGCTGATTGGATCGAAACGAAGCGGGGAGCAGAATGACGCTGCACTGTGATTGGTTATAAAGGAAAAGGGTTAGTTTCCAGGCAGATTGTGTAGCTTTTAGGAAAATAATTAAATAATTGGTGTTATAACACCGTGGCGGCCCGCATGTCTTATTGGTGTACGGGTCATTCCAGTGAAAGTATCTTTTATTTCATCTATGTAGATGTATTTCATTTATGTATGTATTTCATTTATGTAGATGTATTTTATATATGTAGTTGTATTTTGTTTATGTAGTTGTATCTATTCAGCTAACACTCATGTGCTGGCCAGTCTTCCTGAAAATGTGAGGTTTCAACTACCAGTAAACAGTTCTGTTTAGCTGTGCATATAACTGAAGGATTGTACATTCTTTTTAATGTGCTCTTCAAATAAAGGTTGACTGAGTGATTGCTTGATGCGTGTGTGGATGACGTGGTGACGTTCGAAACCTCTTGAAGCGGCCTTCCACGTGACGCTTCAAGAGAGTGGATCATGTTTCATGATTTCAATGGTTTGGTTAGCTAAGTCCTCTGAGATGACTTCTTTTTGTGATTTAGGGGTATACAAGAATACATTGTATTGTATTGTATGCGTAATGCAACTAACAACGTCAGATAGAACCTCAGTCTGAAAGATATGTTGAACGTAGCGGGTTCAGATCCTTGAGTGAATTTATTTTTGTAATGGGAAATTCCGAATTGCAGTATAGTCCTGTAGGAGTAAGGAAAACACAACACTCCATACTACAATAAATCTCTCTTTAGTATAATAAAAAACAAAGTATTAAAAGTATAAACACATATTAAGGTATAAAAATGTATACTCTACTGCAAAGAAATATATACTTGTACAGAGATCTTCAGATCAATCTGTAATTCACTCTCGTGCAAGAATACTAATCAGCTCAATGGGTTCAAATATTCACAAATATTTTTGCAGAGCTCTGGCCAATCACGGTCAGTTCAAGTCTTTTGTACCAGCTCTGCCTGGATAGAAACAGAGCCAAGCACGCACTAAAAAAGTACCTGGTACCGGTAAACCAGGTCCCAGTCGAAGCGCGTAGAGTTTAACGGTTAACTAAAACGAGGGTGCCCTCTGGTGGTACAAAAAGACATTCTGTATGGAGGACCAACACTGTCAAAATAATAAATGATTGAATAAAGGAATACATTTTGCAATCTGCAGACAATTAATAAGATATCCCTACAAAATATTAATAATTCTTAAACATCTGTTTTGTACCTGATAGTTCTATGCAAGGGCATTTACGGCTGATTCAAAATAAATTAATTTAGTTTATTGTTTATTTGGTTGGGACAGTCCATCTACTCAGAAAGGCCCTGTTCCAACCAGGATTCAAACCCAGGACCTTCTTGTTATTCCTTCTTCTTCATTTGTTTAAAAAGTTTCAGGTGTGATCAACCAAGGTTCTTGAATTCATATTATTCTCTATAGATCGAGAGATATTTTTTTTCTTTATAGATTAAATATTGTTGCAGTGTTGTACATACAGTGCATTTTACCCTGGAAAGCTTCATGACCCACTGAAGATGATCCCTAAAAAACTTTTGGCTTCTGACCCAGTTTCAGGAGTCCACACATTTGTATTCATTTTTATTTATTAAGGTAGCTCCAACAAAATGTTGCAGCCAAAAAAGTTGACAAAGTTTTCAAAAAATACTGGAACTGATAATATTTTCATGATAACTTTTACTTGCAATGAAGCTAGGGTACCTAACTTTCAAACTAATAACAAATATGTAATACAATTACTGTAACAAGTTCCTCGCTCTCATAACAGTTTGGTTCTGACACTCATTTTCACCTGCATTTCTGTCACATTTAAAAAAAAAAATTCAGATTACTAACAATTAATAATTGCGACTGCTCTGGACAGAGCAGTCGCATTCTCTTGCTGCTCCTCGCTTGCTGCTTTTTTATCTCCTTTAATCATTTTTGCTTACATTTTTATTCCACAAAACACGGATTACTCCTTTTTACAAACTTCAACACAAGACTGGTGGAATTTACCTAACTTACAGCATGTCGGGAGGACGGGAAAATAGAACAAAACTTTGCGACGGCTGTTTTTCACTCAAACAGGAGCTAAAACTTCTTCAAGACCGAATGTTTGTGCTTGAATCAGAATTGGGGCTGAGCACAACAATACCAGTGAAAGGAAATGGACCAAATGGACAGAACGTAAGTTATGATGATGACGCTATTTCATTTCCCAAAATCAACAGAGACAATTGTTGGAACACATATGGTGCCAAGCCCAAACAAGGCAAAGCTAATGATAACAAGAGTGTCATAATGCCACAGCAAAAATCTTTAATTACAAGAAACCGCTTTTCACCACTTTTGGAAGATGAATTAGCAGTAGTCTCTCAGTCCCAGTCTCAGTCTCAGTCAAGGTCAAATGCAGCTGAGTCGCTCTTTATCGGGGATTCGGCAATGAGAAATGTAAATATGCGTAATCTCAAGGTTCACTCAGTACACTCTGCTAAAGTGGATGAGATAAGGCGGTTGGCTCCGAGGCTTAAAAAGATTGTTGATCCACGTGGGGGCAGTAGACGTCTATGACAACACAAGTGAAAAGTTGAAACGGGATTACTCTCTCTTATTGGACGACCTTGCTAAAATGGACACAAAAATCGTTATCAGTGGCCCACTACCAAATGTGGACGGGAAGCAAATGAAATTCAGTCGTCTGTATCAGCTAAATACTTTCCTACTCAACGAATGTTCACGCAGAGGACTTGCCTTCATTGAGAATTTTAATCTGTTCTGGAATAGGCATGAGCTTTTTGAAGGGAAAGGGCCACATCTGAACACTTACGGAGTAAAAGTGTTGATGGATAACCTTTCTTTTGCCCTGAGACCTCAGTCTGCGCAGCGCGTGCAGCCATCAAAAGGGAGGAAGCCGACTCCAAAAGTCTCTGCACCTCCACCACCTCGAAGGATCTCAACACCACCACCACCTCGAAGGATCTCAACACCTCCACCACCTCGAAGGATCTCAACACCATCACCGCCTCAAAGGATCTCAACACCACAACCACCTCGAAGGATCTCAACACCTCCACTGTCATCAGAAGCAGCTGCATCATCACCAGCAGCAGCTGCATCATCACCAGCAGCAGCTGCATCATTACCAGCAGCAGCTGCATCATCACCAGCAGCAGCTGCATCATTACCAGCAGCAGCTGCATCATCACCAGCAGCAGCTGCATCATTACCAGCAGCAGCTGCATCATCACCAGCAGCAGCTGCATCATTACCAGCAGCAGCTGCATCATCACCAGCAGCAGCTGCATCATCACCAGCAGCAGCTGCATCATCATCAGTAGCAGCACCAGCAGCACGACCACCACCACCATCCTCATCCCCAGCCTGCTCCAAAGCAGCCACGCCTTCTTCATCTACAGCGCCTCTGAAGCCCCAATCCTCACCCCAGCCTAAAGCAGACAGGCCTGTGCTGGGGTTTCCTCAACCACCTGCCCCTCCATTAAAGACTCCCTCGCCACCTCCCATGGACCTGTCTTGGGTCCCCCCTGCCACGTCCACTCCATCAAGAGAGAATGGGGACACCTCCCTTTGTTTTTCATCCCCGCCTTCACTGTTAGACCTACCTGAACACTCTGCAGGGCTAATAAAATCGGCGATGAAGACTATTCCTCTCACACCCATATTAGCTCGATCTAGAGTCCTGTCCAACATTCTAAACCACTCCCCATATGTACCTCCAAAACCACCTAGGGTTTCCAATTCACCTACAAAAACCACCTCAGCCAGTCCCTCCCCTAACCTCATGACCATTCCACCCCCACTTCCCCCTCGTTCAACATCCAAAACCTCTGCCTCAGCCCACCCCGGCCCTAACCCATCACCTAAAACCCCTCCACCTCCCTGCCCCCCTCGTTCAACACCCAAAAGCCACCCACCTCTCCATCCTCCTCCCCTGCCTTCCCCTTCCCCTCTTTTCTCTAAACACTAGGATGCACAGGGTCTCTGCTTCGCAGCCACTGGCAGTCTAGTTAGAGGAGAGACCCGGCTGGGGCCCTGTCATGAAGCCACCTGTGCCATTCCCTTAGTGATAACACAAAGAATACATTACAGAAAAACATCTGGAGTTAATCAGTCTAATCTGGAAAATCTAATTCTTGTTCCGTGTAAGAATCAGCCGACCGCAACCGCTGATACTGAAACTTTGAAACTTGCTACGCTTAATGTCAGATCTCTTTGTAACAAGTCTTTTTTAATCAATAATTTTATTTGTTCTTATAATCTAGATCTTATGTTCATGGCTGAAACTTGGCTTGACCAAAATTCAGAAAATGCAGTTTTAATAGAAGCATCACCACCAAATTTCAAGTTTGAATCTGAAATACGGGAAAACAAAAAAGGAGGAGGCTTAGCTGCCATTTTTAGAGACCACTTTGTCTCCCATAGAATGTCTCTTGGGAAGTTTTCGTCATTTGAATATGTGTCTTTTAAAATACAACAAAAACAATCTCCTCCAATACTCTTCATAGTCCTATACAAGCCACCGCAGTCACATGTCACAGTTTTATGATCATTTTACCGAGTTGCTTTCAGTTGTATGCACAGATTTTGATAGTTTGGTTATTACAGGTGATTTTAATATTCATGTGGATAATGTTGATGACAGAAATGCAAATGAGCTGAGTTCTGTACTTGAATCCTTTGATCTCACTCAGCACGTAAGTGGCCCCACCCACAGCAGAGGGCACACTCTAGATCTGTTAGTTAGAAAGGGGGTGATTATTTCAAATGTAAACGTGGTCGATGTTGCTCTTTCGGATCAGTTCTGTGTTTTTTTTGACATGTGTTTCACTAACAAACCACCAGTGGACTCTGCAACTGTTCGAAGAAGGCACATAAATGAAAATACGAGTGAACTATTTATGGAAATGATAAACTTTGAGAATGCATTGTATTCTACTGTAGATGAACTGTTTAACTCTGTCACCTCTAGTGTTTTGAATGTTCTGGATACCGTTGACCCTGTGAAGGTTAAAATAGTGAAAAATAAGCAGAAGGCGCCGTGGGCTAAAGCAGACTCGGTCAGGGCACAAAAGAGAAAGTGCCGGAGGGCCGA